ACGGGAAGACGCCTTTCATGGTGTAATGGCCATGAGGGGCATACTCGTAATTGGGCACGTCTTGATAGAGCTCTGATTAATATACATTATGCCAACAATTTCCTTCAGCTTGCTTCGAGTACCTTAATCGGAAGACTTTGGATCATTGTCCTATGCTCATTCATGTCCAAAAGCAAGAGGTAGGCTACGGTCCTCATCCATTTCGATTTCAAAATATGTGGGTTACCCATACAGATTTCAGGAGATGTGTTGAAGAAGTTTGGAAGGAACCTACTATTTTTGTGGGTTTACATCGGTTGGCGGAGAAATTAAAGAAAACGAAGCTTGCGTTACGGGCGTGGAACAAGAAAGTGTTTGGGCACGTTGGGCAGAATATTAAAGAATTGGGGGAGAGATTGGAGGTGTTAGACAGCCATTTACAAGGGCGTTATGATAAAGAAGTTGAATGTGATTACTTGGTTACAAAACTTGAATTGGATATTTGGGAAAAACGTGAAGAACTTCGGCTTTCTCAATTGGCGAAACAGAAATGGCTTTCAGAAGGTGATCAAAATTCTAAGTTTTTTCATGCAGTTGTTAATCAACAGAGGAAAAGCAATGTCATTTCACACATGCGGCTAGAGAATGGTACGAGTCTGAATTCTACGGAGCAGGTGCATCAAGGAGCTTTAAAATATTTCCAAGATTTTCTCTCAAATCCTTCTTTGGCGGAACAGGTGGATCTGACTCCTCTTATCCAGAAGTCTGTATCTGAGGAAAATAATTTGGCACTGGTTTTAGCCCCGACAGAGACAGAGGTTTTGGCTGCGCTGAAATCTATACCGAAAGAGAGCTCACCTGGACCGGACGGTTTTGGTTTGGGTTTCTATCTAAGTTGTTGGGATCTGATCAAGGAGGATGTACTCGATGTTGCAAAGGATTTCTTTTCGGGTACTAGTTACCTAGATTTTATACGGCATCTTACTTGGTGTTGATTCCGAAGGTAGAGAAGCCTAAGAGTTTTGATAAGTTTCGGCCGATTAGCCTTTGTTCTGTCGCGTACAAGATTTTCTCAAAAGTGATAGTTCATAGGATGACTTCGTTTTTAACACAGTTGATTTCTCAGGAACAAGGAGCTTTTATTCCCGGCCGCAGCATTTTTGAGAATATTACCCTAGCACAAGAATTGGTTCATTCTCTGAATAAGAAAACAAAGGGTGGAAACATTATGGTGAAGATTGATATGGCTAAAGCCTATGATCGTGTGGACTGGAAATTCCTGTTAAATGTGCTAACATCCTTTGGGTTTTCCTCTCAGGTTTGTAACCTTGTCAGGGAATGTGTTACATCCCCCTGGTTCTCTATTATGATGAATGGGACGTCAAAAGGTTTCTTTAAGCCAGCTCGGGGTCTAAGGCAAGGTGACCCACTTTCTCCATATTTATTTATTATTATGGAAGAGGTTCTGTCTAGATTACTTTGTAAGAATTTTGAAGAGGGTCGTATTAGAGGTTACTCACATCCAGTGGGTGCGCCTTTGGTATCTCACCTTCTCTATGCTGATGATCTCTTAGTGTTTGTGAATGGGGGTAAACGATCTGTTCAAAGAATGTTAAATATTTTGGAAGTTTATGAGAAGTGGTCAGGGCAGCTTATCAATAAGGAAAAATCGGCTGTCTATTTCTCAAAGTCCATTACGATTGCCCGGAGACGTATTCTAATGCGAACGACAAGCTTTGTGGAAGGAAAGTTTCCGTTCACTTATTTGGGTGTCCCCATGGTTTCTGGTCGACTTACATCTAGGCATTTGGAACCGCTCGTGGAGAAAGTCAGGAGGAGAATTGCTGGTTGGAAGTCAAAACTTCTTTCTCAAGGTGGTAGGCTTACACTCATGAAACATGTGTTAACATGTATGTCAACACATCTCTTGGCAGTTTTAAATGTGCCAATGAAGGTTTTTAGTAGACTTAATTCTTTGATGGCGACATTTTTCTGGGGTGATACGAATGGGAAACAAAAAATGAAGTGGTGTGCTTGGGATAGGATATGCAAACCATACAAGGAAGGGGGTCTTGGCATCAGGAATTTTCATGAGGTGCAGCGGGCACTTCACATGAAATTCGCTTGGAGATTGGTTACTGTTGATAACCTTTGGACCAAGTTCTTCCGGGCAAAATATGTGAAACACGGCCACATTTTTTTAGCTGAGACCAGAAGAAATGCTTCCCGTTTCTGGAAGTCTATTATGAAGGTGTTTCTTGATGTGGCCGAAAATGTGCTTGTTAAGGTTAGAGAGGGCAGTTCTTCATTTTGGTTTGATAGGTGGCTAGCAAGTGGACCTTTAGGTGCTAGTCGTGAATCAGGGCACTCTCAGCTCAAGATCAAAGATGTTTGGATTGATGGCTCATGGGATGAGAATGTTCTGGTGGATCTTGTCGGAATTGACAAAACAGAGGAAATAATGAATGGAGTGGTGGCTGGTAAGGTGGGAACAGATATTACCATTTGGAAACCAGAGGTTAAGGGAGTTTTCACGTCGGCTTCTGCGTGGGACCTTATACGTGTGAAAGGAACTGAGCATCTTGGCATGGGCTGGATCTGGCATCACTCTCTTCCGCGAAAAATCTCTGTATGCATGTAGAAAGCTCGGTTTAATGGGTTAGCGCTGGACGCTCGGGTGCAAAGGCTTGGAATCCCGTTGGCATCTCGGTGTAATTGCTGTGCTCAGGGACACATTGAAACATTAAATCATGTACTTTGTAATGGGAGTATTGCTGCGGAGGTATGGAAAAAGGCAGCCATCATGCTGGGTATTAAATATGTTCAGGGTCTTCCTTGGTGGTTGACTGTAATGCAGTGGTTTAATTCGGCAACGAAGTCGAGCCACAGAGGGGTCCTTCTCGGTCTCATTCCCTCTATCATTTCCTGGCGCCTCTGGAGACGTCGTTGCAAAGCTCACATGGAAAATTCAGCTGAATCAGCGGAAAGTGTATGGTTGGCAGTGAGAGTTTGGATACGTAAAATATCCTCTCTGATGGTGAAACAGTGGCCGATATCTGCGAGGGATGAGGTTATACTACGGGATCTTGAAGTGCCTTATGTGGGGAGGTCACGGAATATTCCGATGTTGATTTATTGGAGGAAACCGGCCGACGGGTGGATTAAACTGAATGTTGATGGCGGTTGCCGGGGCAATCCGGGCAACTGTGGGGGAGGAGGTGTCATTCGAGATATGCTAGGGAACTTTAAAGGGGCTTTCTCTTCTTATTTCGGGCAGGGAACTAATAATGAAGCTAAATTGAAAGCGTTAATTGCGGGTGTTTCTCTGTGTAAAGAGCTGGGTTTTAATCAGTTGAATATCGAGAGTGATTCCACTTTGGTTGTTTCCTGGTTGAGTAGTCGCACGTGCACGGCTTGGTATTTATGGGACTACTGGGATGAGCTTTTGACACTGTTAAGAGAAGTTCATTTCACCATCACTCATCAATTCCGCGAAGGGAATACTGCAGCTGACTTCCTCGCTCGACGGGGAGAGGAAGGTAATTCTATCACATTTCTGGAGTTTATGTCGTTACCTAGGGAGTTGAAAGGCATGCTTCGGATGGACAAGGCGGGTTTGCCTCAGCTCAGACGGTTAACTTGATTTTGGGAGTCTGGTTCCAGATGGTTCTTTCCATATGTTGGTTGTTTGGTTTCGTTTTGATGTTTATGTTTTCCAGTTTGTTTTCCAGTGTTGTTCCACGGCTTTCCTCAGCCAAAAGTGAGGCCTGGTAATAAAATTGGGAGGAAGGCACAATAAGGTGACTTCGTCCTATTCTTTTAAAAAAAAAAAAAAAAAAGGGCATGATAGTGGCATCTTCTGTGAAACTCCATTTTTAAAGAATGATTTCTCTGCGCTAATCATTCATTAACTCGTGAGCAGCAAACAGAGTAAAGTATCCACAGCCGTAAAGTATCCACAGCCGTTACCCACTGAACCAAATGATTTGTCAAGGACTAAGTAGTAGATGATAATGAAGGTGATTAGTGGGATGTAATCCATTTTCTATTTCACAAGTTCATTTCATTCGCAAAATATCTTTGTTTTATTGTGGGGATTTCAACTTTGAATAATGATGGCTAAAAGGTATACTTTTTGGAAGTGGGGTAGAGAAAGACATTGAAAAAACAAAAACAAAAAATAAAAAACCTGAATGGCTGTAAAAGGAAATGCCCACTAACAACTACTTTATCTGGAAGAGAATTATTTACTTAAAGAGAGGGTAAGCATGATTGGTTATAAACAAATTGGGAGGATGAACTCCATGCAACTTCAATTAAGTGGGGTGTTGCTTTTTATTAGTTTAATTAAAAGTTAAGAATATAGCCTCTGCTCTTGTGCTCTCTCCTATGATGCTTCAGGGTGTGAGCGTTTGTTCTTACCTGTTTTATTCCTTTTAGATTTTTATTTTTTTTACTACCTTCTTCTTGTAATGTAACTAGCACCATCATCAAGATGCTGAATAATGCAATCAAAATTTTATTCTGGGAATATGGCAATGCCCCATTCCCTACATTGTGGCACCTGTTTAGAGGCCTTCTAGCTTGAATTTGTTTTCATCATTTTTATTCCTTGTCTTTTTTTATTGATGGCTATGTACCACACAATAATAGCCCCTTGACATCTGTGATTCTATTGTTGTACACCAGTACAATTCTGGGTTTACATCACACCCCCACCACAAAAAAAAAATAAATAAAAAAATAAAAAAATTGGGAGTTATATTTTATCCTTGGACTCCTGATGTAGCCTCTATTTTGATATTTGAGCCAAATTGGCCTCTTATTATGACTGTGAAGCCTATATGTCCATGACCAAATAATCTCAGCTTTACAAGAACACAAGTTAAGCAGAATCTGAGAACAGAACCTTGGGTAAAAGTTTCTTAAAGCAGCAGTAAATGTAATATAAGATAACCAAATTAAACTCAGCTTAACATATAAGCAAAAACTTAAACTTGTGGTTAAGAAAATAATGAGTATTTATTCACTAGTAGTCCATTACAAGGTAAGTATATACCAAAGAAATCTTACAAGGTATTAAACTACATTATGTAATCACCAAAGCAACCGAATTTCTACTTGAAAATCACAGCTTGTTCCATCAGAAACCATAGTGAGATATTAACCGCCCATGTGTATTTACCATTTAACCATGGAGCTACATTTTGGCGAAAACTATTGATTGATGACTAGTCATCTTGCATTGCTGAGATTGCAGTGATGCTCCACTTATGGTACAAAGCATTCTAATCGTAATGCATCATAGTAATTCTTCATTCAATCAAGAGAAGGGGGGAAAGACAATACATTTGATATATGGTATTAGTTATACATCATCTGATATAAGCAGAAACCAACTATGATGCAGTTTCCTTGCATGTTCATTCCAACACTCAGGTTCCAAAAAGCTGAGGTGAATGCCAAGCATACCTTATTCTTTATATTTACATTTGTTGCTACTGCCATATACTCGTTGGTATATAATCTTTGTTTTCGTTCAAGCTGCTCATAATGGTACATCGTGCATCATCAAAGCTGCCTGCTTTTCAGCGCCATATTCATAAACTAGGAATCCAGACGCTCAGTTAATTATATACATCTACAACTAAATAGTTCTTCAACCAGCCAAGGTAAATGAGATCAAACTTCCCCATAACCATACTCTATGAACAATGGGTGGCCAGCACATACCATAATTCACTACTTCACCCTTCCTCTGTAAGTCAGATCATGTAATCATGTACATATGGATGTGTTTCAGGTGTTATGTGGGGCAAATTCTCTATATAAAGGTAGAAACACCTCAGGTTTTCCTTTGCAATAGTAACTGTGTCAATGACATCAATGTTGCTAATGAGAACCCATAAATCTTTAGAGCTTACTCTCTTTAGGCCACCACGACAAAAAGGGCAGGACTGAGATCGCATATTCCTGTAGTTCAACAACAGAGTACATTATGGTGTAAAATATTTGTACTATAATTTATCAATCTCTTTATGTGAAATATTTTTTGAATTATCTATTAAAAGGGGAATTGTAGAAATGAGAATCGAGGGTACCAGTCATGGAAGCAACTTATGCACAATGAATGCCCGCAGTAAGGTAGTACCATCTTAGTGCAATTTTCCATGCATATTCCACACTCATTGTCTCTCTCTAAATCTTTATCAGATAGCTTTCTTCTGTCTTCAATTCTCCTCCCACTTGAAACTTCTGTACATCGGTTTCTCTTATTGTTTTCTTCCAGCTCAATAAATTCACCTTCAAGTTGCCTAAGTGAAGGATAGATAACAGCTGCAACAGCAATTTAAATGCATTCGAACGTAAGTGGAAAAACAGGAGAAAGGAAATTGAATATTAATGAACAAGAAGTCAAGAGTGTAGAGAAGGACCATAAAATTCCCTTAGAGAAGCGTTCCTTTCTTTTGAGGACAATGTTGGCATTCCATCAACATAAACCTGGATATATATATATATATATATATATATATATGAAGAGCTTCATTTCAATAAACGCAAAATCAAAGATAAAGGAAAAGTATACACTTGTTTATCCTCACATATTTGGAAAATCATCAACCTAATTATAACTAACTACAAATAACTTTTACCCACCTTGTAAACTAGTATGTGGAGCAGGCCTAAGTAACTGGGGAGGCTATCTGTACAACTATAATCCATCCATTCAATTAAAAACAGAACTAAGGGTGCAAATGGGCTATATGATAATCTCATCTGAACATATTCCCCGCCATAATCTTTTGGTATAGCAGCCGCCCTGCAAAAATCCCAACCGAAACTTAGAGACCAATAAACCCTTCTTGGTTCACACTTGCTAAGGGAAACATAAAATTATACCAAAAGTAACAAATTTGAGACTCAACCAAACTCCACGACAAAACTTGGCAATCAAAATGCAAAACTGTATATGAATTTTGGAAGCTATAATCTAAATGTACTAATGTCATTTCTAAATTCTAGGCACTTAATAAAAGCCATCTCTGACAATAATCAAATTCTGAAACTTTACCTACCTTAATAAAGAAATTCCATCCAACCACCAAAATTTGATCAAGACAATCACTATTAAAAAGCAAAACAGGAAGGAACAAAACCAGAACTTTGATCTTTTTACTATTTCAGGACATTGTAAATAAAATGCAAACAATTTCTGTAGCTTTGATACTATAAAAATTTCCATTCCAAATACAGTAAATGGCACAATAACATAATCAAAGAACTTACAAGCTATTGGCATGTTGTATATCAGCTTCAAGAGCTTTGAGAGACTCTCTAAAAGAAGACTTGTTGGGTTGTTTTAGCAACATCAGGTTCAGGCCTTTCTTAGTTTCCCTGCAAGAGAAAAAAAAAAAAAAAAAAAAAAGGGAAACAAAAGGAGAGGCTTTTGGGTAGTAGAGAAAGAAAGAGTTTAGGAATATGAAGAAGAAAGATGAGATGGAGATAGATAGATATAGAGAGAGTAGTTTAGATTGTTTGCTTAGTGTTTAAACCTTTCATTCTTGAAGAAAAGAAAGGGATACCTTCTCTTTCTCTATCTAATATGCTAACTTTCCAACCCTTCTACTTTTGCCTTCATTATTTCCTCCAAACTCCAACTCCCATTTTCATTTCCATTTATTTATCTCTAACCTCTCACTTTCCTGCTACACCACTTTACATCATGTTTACATAAATGCCAAAGTCTGAATTTTTTTTTTTTTTTTAAGTTATTATTATTAATTTATTATTATTATTGTCTGTGGTTGTGGTTGTGTGATAAAGCTTAATTAAGACAGTTGAAATGGCAATTCTAGGCCCCAACCTACTCAATCAACCAGGCCCATCTTTTTTTGCTGTGGGCCAGGGGGCCCAATCGTAATAATATTTCTTTCTTAAAGATTCAATTGACATTATTTATGCATCATCATAAACTCTTCGATTAGATGATAGGTTGATGTCAGAATACATGATAAATTTGTCTTAACATATTTCTCCTATAATTAAATTAACCATTTTTATTTTATTATGTTCCCAAAACAAAATGTATATATAGAAAATTTTAATTAAAGGGTTTTTTTAATCCGGGGTGTTTGGCTTTTTTTTTTTTTTTTTTTTTTTTTTTAAGTAAGTATCCTCTAGTTTTGGAAATACGACACTAATGCTTATATGTTTAGCCTCTTTTTGAAATAAGTACTCGTTGGTTTCAGAAACGTTTGTCAATTCGACATTCAAAATTTTCAACAATTTTATTTGTAAAAAATATATTAGCCTTAACATTGTTGATTGAATTTGGGTGAATAGTAAAAAGGCCACTTAATTCAAACTTACACGGAATAACCTAACGATCTAACAAAAATGGGGGTTAAGGTCACAGTTTCGAAATTAATGGGTGTTCATTACAAAAAAAGACCAAACACGAGAGTGATAAGAGTTGTATATCTAAAACAAGCAAGTACTCATTACGTAACCAAATACAATAGTTTTACTAAAATAACCTTTAATTAAATAAATAAGAGTAATCGACTTTTTCCCACCCAAATAATGGTTTAATGACACTTTCTCTACCACTGACTTTTAAAACACTACTTTACTACCCAAATTTATATTCTGTTTCCAGTTCCGGTATTGTTGCTACTCCATACCACCATAATTTTCTTCCCTTATTATTATTCATCAAAATCTCTCAAACCCTATTCTCGCATTGACCTCGTCAATCGCCAGCAATCGAGCGATTATGGTTTGCGTAGTTATCCCTTCTAAGTCAATTTCTAATATATCCTAATCACCAAAATTCAACATTCTACTACCAAAAGACTCATCATCTCCTCTTTTCAAAAACCTCAATAGTTTAGACCGAGTTTGTTCTTTATTTTTTGTCAAAATATAAATTTAAATAGAAAAATAATATTTTAAAAATTTGTGAATGAAAAAACGCCGTTAAATCATTATTATTTAGTTGGGAAAAAGAAGTGAACTCAATGAATAAGTAAAGGAAAATGATAGAGTTATCGAAAAGTTTACACCGAATTCGTGCACCGAATGACGTGGCAAAATTCTGATCGTTGATTAATATTAACTGATAATAAATCAACGGTCAGGATTGTATCACGTCATTCGATGCACAAATTCGATACACACCCGTCAACAACTATAGCATTACTCATAAGTAAAACATAAAAATTGACAATAGCGTGTCAAGTGAAAAGACACTGGCAGTGGTAATGAATGAGTTTGGGTTCAAAAAGGCAATAATTGAGTACATGTGGAAGCTGAAGGTGATGGGTCTAAGTAGGCCCATAATCAAAGTAACTTATAAGTTCGGTATTGTATGTCCGTACAAATCAATACAATACTCTTGATGAGCTTCAGCCCATTAATAGCTTGGGCCAGAAAACCCATATCAAAATCTGTTGCTCTCGCCATTCTGGCTGGCTATTCATGTGATGGATCATAAATGTGGCCATTGTTGTCATCTTCTTTGTCTGGTTCATTCTAGGTGGTGTCTACTGTGTAGTAATAAAGAACCACAGGTAAAGGCTGGTGGGTCGGTGATAGTTTGTATGAGTTTTTGTAAGGATATCATTTTTCAGATTGAATAATCATAACCCTAAGGAGTTAGCCAGAGAGTCAAGAATATTTGCTTCATTTATTGACTTTCTGGATTCAAATCACTTTGGAATTACCTATCACATTTGTAGCTTACTTAGAATATTACCTTGTAAGGTATTTAACGAGTACTAAAGATTAGTTGAGGTGCGTTCAAGTTAAGCGGACATCTCAATTATCAAAATAATAATAAATAAATAAATATTGAATCATCAATGTGTTTGATAGAAGATAGATATTTAATGGGTAATGTTAGATGACAGGTAATGTAATGGGTAATTGAAATTTTTTTTTTCTTTTTGGTTATCGGGAGTGTTCGGACCAACTTATGTGTACCTCGATTAGTCCCTCAACCTTGAACAAAGTTTTCAAAACAGGACAAACCCTGCGGTTCGTGGTCAATAATATTAGCAACTCTTCTTGTGATTCAAATCTGAGACCACAGGCAGAGCAAACCGCTTAACCACAAGTCTTTACCACTGGTGGACCAACCCATTGTTGGTTGGGTAATTGAAATATTGCTTTCACTTGTGTTTAATACTTTAATGTGGTTGCATTGGAACCTCCCCTCAATCAAAGTGTCAAAAGGGTTTCCACCTAGATATCCTAACGAGCCCAACTCCATAGATTCATTGCATTAAGGTTTAAGTGATTAAGATTATGCACAAAACCACTAACCCTTTTAATGATTAAAATTAAAAGGCAATTAGGTAGCCATGAATTTGGTTTATAGTAAAGCATGGATTAAGACGGAGATGGGACCATTACTTAAATAAAGCTGAAGACAAGTTAATAAAGTTAAAGATGAGTTGGTCTAAAGGAACAGCGGAAATTTTTTTGTGATTTGCAAAAAAGCAAAAGGATACTAAATTTAATTTTAATTATTCCATTGTAATGCTACTGGTGTTACTCGTTTTCCTTCTTTATGGATGCTTTTTGCATGGCCAAATCTTCTCTCCCTCTCCCTAGTCCCCACCACCATCAACAGACTTAAATTATGTACTGAGTTTGTGACAGTAGAAGGAAATGAATGGTTTTTAGGTTATCGATCATGGATGTTCTGTGAGCAGTAAAATACAAATGAATGGTTATGATTTTGGTGTCTTTGTGGGTTCAGATTGTGTCATAAGTTTGTTTTTCAAAGGCAGAAAAAGGTGAACATGAGATCTTTATTCCTCTTGGGAAAAGAAGATTCCAAAAATCAAAAGCAGAAACAGACGTGAATGAGCATTGCCAAAGCCAAACTCTATCAATCAAAAAAGTGACCAAAAGTGGGGGACAGGAGAAACCCAGTAAAGATGCTCAACTTCTTTTAACACAACACTTTTTATTTTCACTCCCTCAAAATTCTCAACCTTGAAAACATCAAACCCCCCATTAATTGGTTTTATCTGCCTGCAGCTCTTCAATGGTTTTATTTTCTCACTCTCTGCTAACAATTACACATCTTCTGTTTTTATCAGCTGTTGTACTATGCCAAGTTACAGGTATGCTATTGCTCTTTCTCAAGTTTTGTTTATAGAATCTTTTTAAATTACGTTTTATTCAACTGAATGTTATTTGAGTGAAGAGAGGTATAACATAAATGTTTGTTTGGTTATAGTGTAGAGGGTAAAGATTAGAAATTTATAACAAGGTAGTAATACTTTATCAATTCAACATGCATGCAGAATTTATTAGTGTAGATTGTGGAGGCACAAGTAACTACACTGACCCAAGTACTGGATTAGCATGGATCTCAGACCAGGGTACTATGAAGTATGGAAAATCTGTAATAGGAGAAAATCCAAATGGGAACCGGATGCAGTATCGGACACGCAGAGATTTTCCCATAGACAACAAGAAATATTGTTATACTTTGAGCACAAAAGAGAGAAGGAGGTATCTTGTTCGTGCAACATTTCAATATGGAGGTTCGGAAAGTGTAGACTCATATCCGAAATTTCAACTTTATTTGGATGCAACCCGGTGGTCAACTGTGACAGTGTTGGACGCTTCAAGAGTTTATGTGAATGAAATGATTATCAGAGCACCCTCGGATTCTATTGATGTGTGCATATGCTGTGCAATTACTGGTTCTCCATTCATATCCACTCTTGAGCTAAGGCCCTTGAATCTTTCCATGTATGCCACGGATTTTGAGGATAGTTTTTTCTTAAAAGTAGCCGCTAGAGTTAACTTTGGTGCTTCAAGCAAGGATGATGTGAGGTAAGTTCCCTATAAATGTTCATAAATTCAGGTACAACCAGCTCAATACAAGCAAAAAACCACGGTTAAAAGATGACACCGACTGAACAGAACTAATTGATGCTCATCAGTCGTAATCAATTTGTGGAATTCAGCTGTTTGTTATCATCAGTGCTGATTTATCAACATGATTTTATCCTCTCAGGTACCCGGATGATCCTTATGACAGAATCTGGGAGTCAGATCTTGATAGAAGGCAAAATTATCTTGTTGGAGAGGCCCCTGGCACGGTGAGGATCAGTACATCAAAAGACATAGATGTAAGGACAAGAGAATACCCTCCTGTTAAAGTAATGCAAACTGCAGTTGTTGGCACAGAAGGTGTACTGAGCTATAGATTAAACCTTGAAGATTTTCCAGCCAATGCTCGTGCTTATGCATACTTTGCAGAAATTGAAGACTTAGGTGCAAATGAGACTCGAAAGTTCAAATTGCAGCACCCTTACATGCCTGACTATAGCAATGCAGTAGTAAATATTGCAGAGAATGCTAATGGGAGCTACACTCTTTATGAACCCAGCTACATGAATGTAACTTTCAGTTTTATCCTGTCATTCGTTTTTGCTAAGACCCAAGATTCTACTGAAGGACCACTCCTAAATGCGATAGAGATCAATAAATACCAAAAGATTGCTACCAAAACTGACTGGCAAGATGGTAAGGATTACAAATAAGTCAGTGTTCACTGCAAATATGTTGCAGCCTTTAAATGTGCATGACAAGTATGATCTGATGAATAATTGCTAATTGCGCCTTTTTCATTCTTAGTGACTGTACTTGAGGCTCTTCGATCCATGTCTGATGGAAGTGAATGGACAAATGACAGAGGTGATCCTTGTGTCCCGGCTCACTGGGAATGGGTGACATGTAGCTCAACTACTCCGCCAAGAATTACAAAAATGTAATGTCATCACACTTTTTATTTTCAAAAATTCTGCTGGTTCATACCAAGATCATTCTGGTGGTCAATTATTTGATAGATTTCTGAACTAGAAACATACTTTTCCAAAATCGATTCAATGCAGTTTGCAAGGACTCTGTAAATAGCCATTTGAAAGGATAGAAATATCAGACAAGTGGGATGAAACTAAAAACCTGATATTAAAAGATATAATGTAGACTGTAGAATCTCATATATGCTTATGGAATGTTATATATTGAAAGCATAAGCATGAATGTAGAAACTCCTGTTTAGAAGTTTAGTGATAGTAATTTCTTGTAAGAGCTATACAAGAGATGGATTCTTCTAACCAGCTGAACAGTTCCTTGTCAGGAAAGAATATGAAGGGTGAAATCCCATCTGGCCTAAATAGTATGGAGGCATTGACAGAGCTGTAAGTGCTATCATGCTGCAAGATGATTTATTAGTCGATATATCCTTTTTGCTGTTCTGTCTAATGACTTTGCTTCCCTTAGGTGGTTGGATGGAAACTCTCTCACAGGGCAACTTCCTGATATGAGTAATCTTATCAATCTGCAAATTGTGTAAGCTCTTAACTTAATGCCTTATCATTCACTTAGTTATGCTAAGACAGTACTTTTCTGTGATCATGTTAACATCTATATAAAGGAAAACTAACTAGTCCATAACATCTTTCTTTTGTGCACCTGCAGGCATCTGGAGAACAACAAATTAACTGGTTCATTACCATCATACCTGGGTAGTTTGCCAAGCTTACAGGAATTGTATGTGCTATCGTAGTGCTTTTTTACAGAAGTAACCATTGAATTGGGGTTTGAAAGTGCATAATTATTGAAAATTTAATAAAAAATAAACAAATGTTGTTCAATCCAATGTAGGCAAGTTTCTTCTGGTGCATGTTTTACTATTAACTGTGAGATCCACATGTGGCAGGCACATAGAGAACAACTCTTTTAGTGGAGATATACCTCAAGCACTATTAACTGGAAAAGTGAACTTTAAGTGAGTATGCTTTTATTTTCTTTGACTACTATATGCCTCTGAGTAATATTATATAAACGTTAATACTATCTTAAGAACAAAATTGTTAACTTGTAAGGGCTTGGACTGAATCCTTGTCAACTATTCCACTGATAACTTAAACTACAGTAAAAACATGCCATAGGGCACATACAAACACAAAAAACTACATGAAGAAATTATTACATAGTATTGTGTGAAATTACCAAGTAGTTGTCAGCTGCACAAAAGAATATGATACAAGTCTTAAGAGAACCAAGTGAATTGCATATATATCAGGGGAAACACTTTTGGAATCCGAGATATCAATGGTTTAATTGTATGAAAATGCTCATTTAATCGCACTGTCATAAAATATAATTGATATCAGATAGCCTGACTCAGAGGATTTTTTTTAACAGCTACTTATTTTATCTGGCAGATATGAAAACAATCCTCAATTAAATAACGGGGCACAGCAAAAGAGGCGTTTTAAGATAATACTTGGAACCTCAATAGCAGTACTTGCAATTCTCTTAGTTTTGTTATTGGGAAGCTTATTATTGCTGCGTAACTTTAGGAGAAAATTATCTAATCAAAAAAGTGTTGACAAAGGTGTGTATAGCTTGGTGTTTTTCTACTGTTACATTGATTGACATTCTCATCCCAGTAGTTTCTGCGACTCTGCTGTATCCACCAGGTGATTCCTTGCCAATTAGCGCAAAACCTTCAACTGCCTATTCAATAGCACGGGGTGGACCTTTTATGGATGAAGGTGTAGCATACTATATTTCACTTTCTGAGCTAGAAATAGCGACAGAACACTTTTCTAAGAAGATTGGCCAAGGAAGTTTTGGTTCTGTTTACTATGGAAAAATGAAAGATGGAAAAGAGATTGCAGTCAAGACCATGGCTGATTCCTCCAGCCATGCAACAAAGCAATTTGTCACTGAGGTAGTTTGAGATTCAACTGTACCTCTTTGCTCATCTATATCCAAATATGTTTATTTGCACAGAAAGGAACCGGTTTTATACGTTAGCGATGGGCCATCCCAATAGAAAGCCACTCAACAATTTATAAAAATGAAGGTCTCTAACCATCAGAACACTTTTGCAGGTTGCTCTTCTGTCAAGAATTCATCATAGAAACTTGGTTCCTTTGATTGGATACTGTGAAGAAGAAGAACAACGAATTCTGGTTTATGAGTATATGCACAATGGAACCTTGCGGGACCGCATACATTGTCTGCTGTCTATCCTTAAATCTATTTGTTTATTTTCTATTTTCTAGTCTACTCATTGTGACATCAAATAATAGAACTAAAATTTATAAAAAAAAATTCTGCCAGGTTCTGTCAACCAGAAGCCTTTAGACTGGCTTGCTCGTCTACAAATTGCAGAAGATGCAGCTAAAGGTTTAGACTCAAACTTACCAGTTGTCTGGTAATCGTGCATAAATCAAATTTCAGCTATAACAGAAATTTAGATTTTTTGTAGGGCTAGAGTACTTACACACTGGCTGCAACCCTGGGATCATTCATCGAGATGTTAAAACAAGCAATATTCTCCTAGACATTAATATGAGAGCAAAAGTGTCAGATTTTGGACTTTCAAGACAAACTGAAGAAGATCTAACACATATATCAAGCGTAGCACGAGGAACAGTAGGCTACCTGGATCCTGAGTAAGCCATACTCAAAATTTTTGTCATAATTAACCAAAAATCTCCTTATATGTGCTTAACTTAGTCATTTAGCAGGTACTATGCAAGTCAGCAATTGACTGAAAAGAGTGATGTTTATAGCTTCGGGGTTGTTCTCCTAGAATTGATCTCTGGACGAAAGCCAGTCTCAGTGGAAGATTTTGGTGCTGAAATGAACATCGTTCACTGGGTATGCCTCATTTAATCACTTTCAATCAATTTAGATGTGCATTTGTTAGCATCACTGTAGTACAAGCGGAACTGCTAGTATTTGTTGATCCTAGTCCTACTACTCAGCTGATACGCCACAACGCTGTGATACAAGTATCAAAGTCATTAGAAGCTAAGCCATTTTTATGTAGCGATGATCAAATGAATTAAATACCGAACACTGAAACATTGATGTTTTGCAGGCAAGATCATTGATTCGGAAAGGAGATGTGATAAGCATAGTAGATCCTGTTCTGGTAGGAAATGTGAAAATGGAATCCATCTGGAGAATAGCTGAAGTAGCAATACAATGTGTTGAACAACGTGGCTTCTCCAGGCCAAGGATGCAGGAAATAGAGTTAGCCATACAAGATGCAATCAAGATAGAAAAAGGAAGCGACCAAAAAATATCTTCTGGTAGTTCCAGGGGACAATCTTCACGGAAAACTTTACTGACAAGCTTTCTTGAAATTGAGAGTCCTGACGTTTCAAATGGGTGCTTAGTCCCATCTGCTAGATAATTTTGTACCATCCCCACCATCTCAACTCTACTTAATTTGTACATCTTTATCATATGTTTATGGAGATTGGAACCGCAAGGTATTACTTTTACTTCATTTTAACAGGACATTCACTTCTCTTTCACCTGCAAGCTTTTGTAAAAACAAACTACAAATATGTACAGGGTTACATGTATTCTGATTCTTGTTGAATTAGTTTGATGTTTGTATTCTGCAAATTACATAATTTATTCTTATTATTTTATCATTGAATCATTTACTCTACTGGGTAGCAGTCAATACTTAAAGATTGACTTTTTGGATATAATTAAAGATTTAGTTGGAAAACCTAACATACAAATAATTAATAAAGTAGGTGCTGATGAGCCGTGATGTTATTAGATTGTTGTACAAAATTGAACATGCTTATTTTAAATAAAATGGAAAATAACTACATCTGTTTCCCTTATGTGTGTTTGGTTTTTCAATAATCAACTTTCCCCTTAAGAAAGATCAGAATAATTTAAGCAAAAATAATTAACAATCTCTTCCTATTTGGTATCGAATTTTTGATTAACTGGCGCGTACGCAAAACAATAATATAATTCACGCAAGTATTTGATTCAATCATACAAAACAAATTAAAATATGATTTGACCTAAATTTCAGGGTTTTCTTTTGTGTTCAAAACCTAACTGTCTTCCACAATCATGCTTAATGAGGCAAATTAAATAAAGGGTTATGCACTAATGACTAATCTACCTCAAATAATTCAACAACTTAATCATATCCCAAGATAAACACTTCATCAAGCAATGTTGGGTGATCATATCACACATAATATAAAAACCCCACATAAAATATTCCCAAAGAATACTGTAATCTGTCATCATATCGTATAAAATATTTGATACAATCCATAATGTGTGTATAAAATATGGTATTTTTAAATTATAATAATGAGAGAAGGAAAGAGTTGGGCGAATTCAAAAGCGAACCTACCACAAAAGAAAATGATTAGATAAGAACAAAATATAGAAATTAAATGAGAGCATCCCCAGGGACTGAGATAGTGTAGAGAAAGAGATAAAAAAGAAGGAAACTTTCTTGTCAGTATTGTGTATTATATCTCTGAAGATAAATGAAAAGGCAAGTCATTGTCAGAGCCGCCCCCTATATTCATCATCAAGAATAAAAGCAAAGATAAAAGCGAGAGAAAAGAGAAGAAAAGAAAAGAAGGCTACCTTCTTTTCTAGTTTACCTTTCCCGTTGTTTGTATGTTTGTTTGGTGGATTAGGTTTCTTAGAAGTGTTCAGAAACCATAAACAAACAAAACCCAGTTGCTATTTATCCTCCTTTACAAGGCTCTTTTTGTTCTTTGTGAGATGGAGATGATGTATTATCAGTTGGCCAAGTCTTCTTACCAGGAATCGCTCAAAGTTTTGGAGGCCGATATACAGCATGCAAATGATCTGTAAGTTACAATTTGAGTTCTTTTGTTTTCGCTGAAATGGGTTGTTTTTGTAAATTTTCGTTTGTTTATGTACTTTATCAGTATCATGATCAACATTATAAGTTTTAAGCTGCCATGCTAATTGATGAAAAAGAAGCTAACCTTTTGTGGTGGATTTTTATTTTTTGTATGCAACTACTGCACTTTTGGAATTGTTGAAGATATTCCCAAATAGGAAAGATTGATTTTTTTTCTCTGTTGTTAGTGTTATTTTGTAATCTAACAGTTGGTTAGCAAGCAAATTTGAATTTTAGGAACACTTTTTTTTTTTTTTTTTTTTTTTTTTTTGAGATTTGGTAAGTATCCATGTTAAATTTAAGGGCTTATGTTGCTATTAGTGGTTCAGTTATATTATATTTTTTCTAATTAGATTTCTGGGGTTTTAGGGCTGCTTCAATTCCAAGAGCAAAAGGTGGCACACGTCTTCAAATGAAATTGGTTTACAATCACTTTGCTCCCCTCTTTTGGTTTTTGTTACAATGGATGAATTCTTCCTGTGTATGTCTACCGCCCAGATATCTAAACCTCTTCAACATACTTGTATATAAGGTTGGTTTGGCTTCTGTAGCAAATTGATTCTCGAAGTATGATTGGTGCAATAGTTAACTGGTTGTTCTTATTTTGTATAGGTATATGCTGACGGTCAATCAAGACTATCTTCACACGGAAGGAAGGCCACAATTAGGGAATTCTATGGTATGCAAAGTTTCCTTCTGGTTAATGTTATTATATTTTTAGATGAACTCCCTTTGGCTTTGTTTTATGCATATATTCTGACTTTGTCATTTCAATGGAAACCATTTTGCAGGCATTATATTACCATCTCTTCAACGGCTTCATGGTAGTTTGGGTGAGTATGGTGATGCTGAGGAAAGGCATACTGACATTTTGCGTTTTGATAGAAGAAGAGTGGAAGGAGATAGCCGTTTTTCCAAAGTTGATTTGGAGAGAGAAGACGAATGTGGTATCTGCTTAGAGCCCTGTACAAAAATGGTGTTGCCTAATTGTTGTCATGCAATGTGCATGAAATGCTACCGCAATTGGTAAGTGCAAATCTTTGTCAACCGACTTGTCTCTTGTTGTGAAAGCTTGGTGTCAAAAAGAATTATTATTACTCATTTCACTCATATAAATTCTTTCACATTACAGGAACACAAAGTCTGAGTCATGTCCTTTTTGTCGTGGTAGTTTAAAGAGAGTCAACTCGGAAGACTTATGGGTGCTTACTTGTGATGACGATGTGATTGATCCTGAAACAGTTTCCAAAGAAGACTTGTTGCGTTTCTACCTCTATATCAATAGCCTGCCGAAATATTGTCCAGATGCTCTCTTTTTAGTGTATTATGAACACTTAATCTGATTAGGAACGTATGAGAAGAATGATGTACAGATAGGAAGGCCGACCTGTAAAAGTAAATAGAGTCTGGTAAGGAAAATTCTCGAAAATTCTCTCATTTTTACGCAAAAATGACCACCCATATTTGAACATTACGAAGATTGGGGTGTGTTTCTCAATTATTGTTGTCAAAGTTCTATTTCAAAGCTGGCAAGTACATTTTTCTTACAAACATGTTGATATTCCACTTTTAATTATGTCAGTTAATAGATAAAAATCATCTTCTACTCTTTATGAATGCCTGTATAAAATTCATATGGCTGCATTGGACATTGCTTTCACTGTACTGTTCCTGCAATTGCAAATGTGGATTAAGCATCTCTTTATAGTTTAGATTTGTGATATTCTTGCTACTATACATTTGCCAATTTTCAATCAAAGCATATAATATATTGCTGTTTGATATCTTGAGTGTCAAATACGGACTGCTATTTGTTTCAGCAACATTTTAATGTTATGCTGGCCTGATAAGGCCGTGATAAAATAAGAAGTTATTAGTGTAATTCAAGCCTCCTGAGAAAAACAGAGGATATCTCACATACTTGTGTCATGTGCAGCACAACTCTGCATTGCATTTGACTTGCGAGTATTAAACTTAATTAGTTGAAGGAATATTTTTTGTTTCCTTCTGATGCAATTGCATGTGCTAATTGTAGCTCTTTAAAAATATATTGAGTTCCCAACTGGGTTTGAGATTTGATGAAAAAATAAATAGGGCTCAGCGTTGTAAAATGGAACAGTCAAATTTGTTTAGACTAAAGTTTGATTTGCTAATAATATTTTTGCAGGTTTTACTTGGATTAGGTAGGATAATGATGTGTCAATAAATGGAATCCCATTTATTGCTTCAAATCTCCTTTGTAAGTAAGATTTATCCTCTCTTTTGTTATGAACGGGGTGTTTGGGTCTTACGCATACTGAGACTCTGAAATTAACGATCAGGTAAGTTTCCAATGGTTACTCTTATTAGATAGCCGAAGTGGATCGAACTTAAGATCACTTGAGTAATACACCAAAAATCTTAGTTGATCCCTCAGGCCCTAGTGATATTTGATTTACCTTCATTTCAAACTTGTGGTTGATGGACACTTTTGTTGTATAAACAAAAACTGGTATTATGATCAGAATCAGAGCCCAGAGAAAAGAAATGAGATAAACTTTACTACTTTATTGAATTACAAACCAGGCAAACGTAAATTAGTTTCCCAGTAAGATCTCATTCAGTGACTTGTGATTCTTGTAAACATTCAAAATGTATGTTCAAGAAATGACATAATCCTTATTGTCTCAGTAACAACAAAACAAAAATGAAAAAATTGTAAAATGAAACTCTGATATCTCGCTCCTTGAATGCAGCTGAAGCAGCCCATTCAGAGCTCAAAAAGAAACGCCTAAAACAACACTTAATTCTTTTGATCCGGTTTTTGTTCTCTCCCTTTCCTTTTAATAGGATTAAGTTAGGGATTGGGAAACATAGAGGCTGTACCGCCTGCGCCTCCAAAGGAACCACCGCCACCGCTGCTGCCTCCAACGGAACCACTGCTGCCTCCAAGGAAACTGCCACCGCCTCCAAAGGAACCGCTGCCTCCAAAGGAACCACCGCCGCCTCCAATGGAACCGACACCACCGTCACCTCCAACGGAACCGCCGTTGCCGCTGCCTCCTCCAACGAAACCGGCAGCACCCAAACCGGTTCCAATGGTACCGACGTCACCCAAATCGGTTCCCATGCCTTTTGCATCTCTGTTAAGTGAGCCCGATTTGAGTTCAATGAGGTCTGCAAATGACATTGGTGAGGTAAAGCCGCTTCCGTGAATGATGAGTTCTGATAATGCCTTATACATTGCTTCTGTGAAATGGATTCCATCCCAGGATATATGAGTGGCGGGGTTCTTGCAAGTGGATGTGCCCATTGATCCACAAAGAGAATGCAACTTAAAGTTGAAAGGGCCACCTCCTGCTCCACAGCATGCCTGGAAGGGCTCTGAAAAGTGAAATTTCTGGTGATTTTGGAGTATATGGTTGAATGCACCCCATACATCAGCATATAAAATGGTACAATTGGGAAATCGTTTCTGCAATTCATTCAAGGACTTTATTAGGCGGTCGTTGTGGGACTTTATTACAGCATTGGCGGTTGATGAACACCCATTAGCATCACGCTCCGATGATTGACATAGTAATAGCTGTAATGGACAGCACCCCATTGGTGGTACTCCTTGAACCACCATGTACTTTGCACCTTTCTCCAATAATTTCTGCCATTAAAACATGCAATAGTTAGCTACATTCTTCCAATATAAATCTAATCAAATCACTACAAAACAAAATATGTAGATAAATAGGGAGTCCTACACTAAGAAGCTTGATAACTTGACCACACGTTGTTTCTGTAATCGAACGCATGGAGAAAGGAGACCCAGATGAACCAAGTAAACGAGCATAGTCATCTCCACCCATATCACCAATCCAGAAGAGGCCATTTCCCATCTCAGCCCTGCAGGTCTTCTCATCTTTGCCCTTGCATGCCATATCCTGAACATACTTGTTGAACCAATCTATTTGTGTTTGGAAGCTCATTGGAGTCCCTTTCCACATCAAGGAATCACTCATGTTAAGTCTGTCAAAAAATTCACTGGCAAGAGCAGTTGATCCGCCGATAGCAAAATTGGAACCGGAAGAGAAGTCTGAGGAATCCACTTTAAAAGGTGGCAAGTAGGGTAAGCCAAGATCCTCGCAGAGGAAATCAACCATCAACCGCCCATTACTTTGGCGGAATCCTGGTAGCTTATTTTTGCCGAATGGGCCATTGTGAAAGTGAGAGATTATACTATCAACGAAGGGCTTAAAACCACCCAACAACTGAGCATTCCCGGTATCTGTGAACGAGTCTCCAAAGGCAAACACCTTGGAGAAGCAACCTTTGAAGCTCACATGCGAATCATCGTCTTTACCTGGAGGGTTGTTAGGATTTTTGGTATTTCCTGGAGGATTGGTGGGAGTCTTGTCATTGCCGGGAGGAAAATTTATTTTGTCATCTACAGGGGGAGGTTGTTTGTTTTCTGAAGGAGGATTATTATTTTTATCACTTGGAGGACAGTCGTTGTCATCTGGAGGAGTGGTGGGAGTATTGGTGTTACCCGGAGGAGTTTCCTTGTTATTATCAAATGCTGGAGGTTTAGGTTTATCGGAGAAAGTTGGAGGTGGCTTAAAATGACCTGAAGAAAGTGGGAAAGTTAAGAGAAGGGAGAAGGTTACTGAAATATAAAGGATGTAGTTAGAATGCATCATTTTGTAAGTTCAGATGATGAAAACGTATTGTTTTGATATATTTCAGAGAACGAGTTGAAGATATTTATATACTCGTGTGCCTTTCTTTTTCTGGATTTCCATGAGTGAAGCTCCATGGTTGTAGGAGAGACAAGGTCCTCATTCTTCCGCCTTTGCTTGGCTACTTTTCTCAGAGTCTCAGAATTTGTAGGTCAAGTCTTGACCATGCATTAGGAATATTTTTCATTGGCCAGGAACCATATAATTTTTTTTTTTTTTTAAAAATAATCAGAACTCATTAAGTAACTATGTAAACAAATTATGTACAAATGAGTTTTATTTTATTTTCCCTTGATTTTTGTTTTTTTTAAACTTATTTATGGATTATTGCAATTGGGTGATTGACAGTATAAATATGGATTTTCATTAATTTTATAGATAAGTAAAAATAATATAAAATTGGAAGGTTAAATGAAAGAGTTAACAACATCTTCCCACCTGAAAAATGGCCCATTGACAAATTCATACCCACTCGTGTGCCTTTCTTTTTCTGGATTTCCATGAGTGAAGCACCGTGGTTGTAGGACATAGAAGACCCTCGTTCTTCTCCCTTGCTTGGCTACTTTTCTCAGAGTTTCAGAATTTGTAGGTCAAGTCTTAACCATGCATTAGGATAGAGATGTCAATGGGCCGGGCTGGGACCGGGTACCCCTTGGCCTGGGCTGGGACCGGGTACCCCGACCTCATGACAAAGGTCCAGTCTCGACCCGGGCCTGTCACGAGGATGACCAGTAAAGCCCAAGCCCAACCCGACAAACTTTGTGTAATCTTAGTCCCGGCCCAAGCCCGCCTATTTTTATAATGTGAATTTTTAAATATTAATAAATTTCAATTTTTTTTTTATATTCTAAATTCTAGAAACAGTTTTTAAATATATATTTTTTAATACTCACCAAATATTAATAAATTTTAATTTTTTTTTTTATATATGTAGGATAATTTTGTAATTAGATATATAGTATAAGGGTAATTTAGTAAAATTAATAGTAAAATTTCGGGCCGGGCCGGGACTGAAGACATATCCATGCCCGGCTCGTACTCGAGGGCGGGTCTTAAAATCAGTCTCAGGCCCAAGCCCAAGCCCACTAACACTGGGTAAAGCTTGACTTTTTCAGGACGGGCCAAGCTGGGTACCCGAAAATACCGAGCCCATTGCCATCTCTACATTAGGATTATTTTTCTTGGCTAGGAACAATATATATTTTTTTTTTAATGACCGATGATGTGCGGGCCAACTTACGCACACCTCAATTAATCCTTCGGAACCTTGAAACATATATCATTTTAGTTATCTCTATAATTTTTTTTAAAATAATCAGAGCACTAATTAAGTAATTATGTAAAAAAAAATTGTACAAATGAGTTTTATTTTATTCTCCCTTGACCTTTTTTTTTTTTTAAACTTATATATGGATTATTGCAATTTGGGTGATTGTAAGTAGGGGTGTTCGGTTCCGGGTACCCTACACTTTTTGAAGGAATCAGGAACCACCGCCACCCGCTCCAACGGAACCTCTGCCACCTCAAAAGAACCATCGCCACCGCTGCTGCCTCAATGGAACCGTCGCCACCGCCCTCCAACGGAACCACTGCTTCCTCCAAGGAACTGCCACCACTCAAAGGAACCGCTGCTCCAAAGGAACCGCCGCCTCCAACGGAACCACTGCCGCTCCACAAGGAACTACCACCGCCTTAACGGAACCGTCGCACCTCCACGGAACCGTCGCCACCTCCAACGGAACTGCCACGCCGCTGCCTCCAAGGAAACCGCCACCGCCTCCAAGGAACCGCCACCTCCAAAGGAACCACCGCCGCCTCCAATGGAACCGACACCCACCGTCACCTCCAACGGAACCGCCGTTGCCGCTGCCTCCTCCAACGAAACCGGCAGCACCCAAACCGTTCCAATGGTACCGACGTCACCCAAATCGGTTCCATGCCTTTTGCATCTCTGTTAAGTGAGCCGATTTGAGTTCAATGAGGTCTGCAAATGACATTGGTGAGGTAAAGCCGCTCCGTGAATGATGAGTCTGATAAAGCCTTATACATTGCTTCTGTGAAATGGATTCCATCCCAGGATATATGAGTGGCGGGGTTCTTGCAAGTGGATGTGCCCATTGATCACAAAGAGAATGCAACTTAAAGTTGAAAGGGCCACCTCCTGCCCACAGCATGCTGGAAGGGCTCTGAAAAGTGAAATTCTGGTGATTTTGGAGTATATGGTTGAATGCACCCCATACATCAGCATATAAAATGGTACAATTGGGAAATCGTTTCCGCAATTCATTCAAGGACTTTATTAGGCGGTCGTTGTGGGACTTTATTACAGCATTGGCGGTTGATGAAACCCCTTAGCATCACGCTCCGATGATTGACATAGTAATAGCTGTAATGGACAGCACCCCATTGGTGGTACTCCTTGAACCACCATGTACTTTGCACCTTTCTCCAATAATTTCTGCCATTAAAACATGCAATAGTTAGCTACATTCTTCAATATAAATCTAACAAAAAAAGGTGGCACACGTCTTCAAATGAAATTGGTTTACAATCACTTCGCTCCCCTCTTTTGGTTTTTGTTACAATGGATGAATTCTTCCTGTGTATGTCTACCGCCCAGATATCTAAACCTCTTCAACATACTTGTATATAAGGTTGGTTTGGCTTCTGTAGCAAATTGATTCTCGAAGTATGATTGGTGCAATAATTAACTGGTTGTTCTTATTTTGTATAGGTATATGCTGACGGTCAATCAAGACTATCTTCACACGGAAGGAAGGCCACAATTAGGGAATTCTATGGTATGCAAAGTTTCCTTCTGGTTAATGTTATTATATTTTTAGATGAACTCCCTTTGGCTTTGTTTTATGCATATATTCTGACTTTGTCATTTCAATGGAAACCATTTTGCAGGCATTATATTACCATCTCTTCAACGGCTTCATGGTAGTTTGGGTGAGTATGGTGATGCTGAGGAAAGGCATACTGACATTTTGCGTTTTGATAGAAGAAGAGTGGAAGGAGATAGCCGTTTTTCCAAAGTTGATTTGGAGAGAGAAGACGAATGTGGTATCTGCTTAGAGCCCTGTACAAAAATGGTGTTGCCTAATTGTTGTCATGCAATGTGCATGAAATGCTACCGCAATTGGTAAGTGCAAATCTTTGTCAACCGACTTGTCTCTTGTTGTGAAAGCTTGGTGTCAAAAAGAATTATTATTACTCATTTCACTCATATAAATTCTTTCACATTACAGGAACACAAAGTCTGAGTCATGTCCTTTTTGTCGTGGTAGTTTAAAGAGAGTCAACTCGGAAGACTTATGGGTGCTTACTTGTGATGACGATGTGATTGATCCTGAAACAGTTTCCAAAGAAGACTTGTTGCGTTTCTACCTCTATATCAATAGCCTGCCGAAATATTGTCCAGATGCTCTCTTTTTAGTGTATTATGAACACTTAATCTGATTAGGAACGTATGAGAAGAATGATGTACAGATAGGAAGGCCGACCTGTAAAAGTAAATAGAGTCTGGTAAGGAAAATTCTCGAAAATTCTCTCATTTTTACGCAAAAATGACCACCCATATTTGAACATTACGAAGATTGGGGTGTGTTTCTCAATTATTGTTGTCAAAGTTCTATTTCAAAGCTGGCAAGTACATTTTTCTTACAAACATGTTGATATTCCACTTTTAATTATGTCAGTTAATAGATAAAAATCATCTTCTACTCTTTATGAATGCCTGTATAAAATTCATATGGCTGCATTGGACATTGCTTTCACTGTACTGTTCCTGCAATTGCAAATGTGGATTAAGCATCTCTTTATAGTTTAGATTTGTGATATTCTTGCTACTATACATTTGCCAATTTTCAATCAAAGCATATAATATATTGCTGTTTGATATCTTGAGTGTCAAATACGGACTGCTATTTGTTTCAGCAACATTTTAATGTTATGCTGGCCTGATAAGGCCGTGATAAAATAAGAAGTTATTAGTGTAATTCAAGCCTCCTGAGAAAAACAGAGGATATCTCACATACTTGTGTCATGTGCAGCACAACTCTGCATTGCATTTGACTTGCGAGTATTAAACTTAATTAGTTGAAGGAATATTTTTTGTTTCCTTCTGATGCAATTGCATGTGCTAATTGTAGCTCTTTAAAAATATATTGAGTTCCCAACTGGGTTTGAGATTTGATGAAAAAATAAATAGGGCTCAGCGTTGTAAAATGGAACAGTCAAATTTGTTTAGACTAAAGTTTGATTTGCTAATAATATTTTTGCAGGTTTTACTTGGATTAGGTAGGATAATGATGTGTCAATAAATGGAATCCCATTTATTGCTTCAAATCTCCTTTGTAAGTAAGATTTATCCTCTCTTTTGTTATGAACGGGGTGTTTGGGTCTTACGCATACTGAGACTCTGAAATTAACGATCAGGTAAGTTTCCAATGGTTACTCTTATTAGATAGCCGAAGTGGATCGAACTTAAGATCACTTGAGTAATACACCAAAAATCTTAGTTGATCCCTCAGGCCCTAGTGATATTTGATTTACCTTCATTTCAAACTTGTGGTTGATGGACACTTTTGTTGTATAAACAAAAACTGGTATTATGATCAGAATCAGAGCCCAGAGAAAAGAAATGAGATAAACTTTACTACTTTATTGAATTACAAACCAGGCAAACGTAAATTAGTTTCCCAGTAAGATCTCATTCAGTGACTTGTGATTCTTGTAAACATTCAAAATGTATGTTCAAGAAATGACATAATCCTTATTGTCTCAGTAACAACAAAACAAAAATGAAAAAATTGTAAAATGAAACTCTGATATCTCGCTCCTTGAATGCAGCTGAAGCAGCCCATTCAGAGCTCAAAAAGAAACGCCTAAAACAACACTTAATTCTTTTGATCCGGTTTTTGTTCTCTCCCTTTCCTTTTAATAGGATTAAGTTAGGGATTGGGAAACATAGAGGCTGTACCGCCTGCGCCTCCAAAGGAACCACCGCCACCGCTGCTGCCTCCAACGGAACCACTGCTGCCTCCAAGGAAACTGCCACCGCCTCCAAAGGAACCGCTGCCTCCAAAGGAACCGCCGCCTCCAACGGAACCACTGCCGCCTCCAAAGGAACTGCCGCCGCCTTTAACGGAACCGTCGCTACCTCCAACGGAACCGCTGCTGCCTCCAAGGAAACCGCCACCGCCTCCAAAGGAACCGCCACCTCCAAAGGAACCACCGCCGCCTCCAATGGAACCGACACCACCGTCACCTCCAACGGAACCGCCGTTGCCGCTGCCTCCTCCAACGAAACCGGCAGCACCCAAACCGGTTCCAATGGTACCGACGTCACCCAAATCGGTTCCCATGCCTTTTGCATCTCTGTTAAGTGAGCCCGATTTGAGTTCAATGAGGTCTGCAAATGACATTGGTGAGGTAAAGCCGCTTCCGTGAATGATGAGTTCTGATAATGCCTTATACATTGCTTCTGTGAAATGGATTCCATCCCAGGATATATGAGTGGCGGGGTTCTTGCAAGTGGATGTGCCCATTGATCCACAAAGAGAATGCAACTTAAAGTTGAAAGGGCCACCTCCTGCTCCACAGCATGCCTGGAAGGGCTCTGAAAAGTGAAATTTCTGGTGATTTTGGAGTATATGGTTGAATGCACCCCATACATCAGCATATAAAATGGTACAATTGGGAAATCGTTTCTGCAATTCATTCAAGGACTTTATTAGGCGGTCGTTGTGGGACTTTATTACAGCATTGGCGGTTGATGAACACCCATTAGCATCACGCTCCGATGATTGACATAGTAATAGCTGTAATGGACAGCACCCCATTGGTGGTACTCCTTGAACCACCATGTACTTTGCACCTTTCTCCAATAATTTCTGCCATTAAAACATGCAATAGTTAGCTACATTCTTCCAATATAAATCTAATCAAATCACTACAAAACAAAATATGTAGATAAATAGGGAGTCCTACACTAAGAAGCTTGATAACTTGACCACACGTTGTTTCTGTAATCGAACGCATGGAGAAAGGAGACCCAGATGAACCAAGTAAACGAGCATAGTCATCTCCACCCATATCACCAATCCAGAAGAGGCCATTTCCCATCTCAGCCCTGCAGGTCTTCTCATCTTTGCCCTTGCATGCCATATCCTGAACATACTTGTTGAACCAATCTATTTGTGTTTGGAAGCTCATTGGAGTCCCTTTCCACATCAAGGAATCACTCATGTTAAGTCTGTCAAAAAATTCACTGGCAAGAGCAGTTGATCCGCCGATAGCAAAATTGGAACCGGAAGAGAAGTCTGAGGAATCCACTTTAAAAGGTGGCAAGTAGGGTAAGCCAAGATCCTCGCAGAGGAAATCAACCATCAACCGCCCATTACTTTGGCGGAATCCTGGTAGCTTATTTTTGCCGAATGGGCCATTGTGAAAGTGAGAGATTATACTATCAACGAAGGGCTTAAAACCACCCAACAACTGAGCATTCCCGGTATCTGTGAACGAGTCTCCAAAGGCAAACACCTTGGAGAAGCAACCTTTGAAGCTCACATGCGAATCATCGTCTTTACCTGGAGGGTTGTTAGGATTTTTGGTATTTCCTGGAGGATTGGTGGGAGTCTTGTCATTGCCGGGAGGAAAATTTATTTTGTCATCTACAGGGGGAGGTTGTTTGTTTTCTGAAGGAGGATTATTATTTTTATCACTTGGAGGACAGTCGTTGTCATCTGGAGGAGTGGTGGGAGTATTGGTGTTACCCGGAGGAGTTTCCTTGTTATTATCAAATGCTGGAGGTTTAGGTTTATCGGAGAAAGTTGGAGGTGGCTTAAAATGACCTGAAGAAAGTGGGAAAGTTAAGAGAAGGGAGAAGGTTACTGAAATATAAAGGATGTAGTTAGAATGCATCATTTTGTAAGTTCAGATGATGAAAACGTATTGTTTTGATATATTTCAGAGAACGAGTTGAAGATATTTATATACTCGGGTGCCTTTCTTTTTCTGGATTTCCATGAGTGAAGCTCCGTGGTTGTAGGAGATACAAGGCCCTCATTCTTCAGCCTTTGCTTGGCTACTTTTCTCAGAGTCTCCAAATTTGTAGGTCAAGTCTTAACCATGCATTAGGAATATTTTTCACTGGGCAGGAACCATATAATTTTTTTTTTTTTTTTTTAACATTAATACCGTGCATTTCAATTAATCCTTCAAAATCTTGGAACATATATCATTTTAGTTATCTCTATAATCTTTTTTTTTTTAAATAATCAGAACTCATTAAATAATTATGTACAAATGAGTTTTATTTTATTTTCCCTTGATTTTTTTTTTTTTGATTTTTTTAAAACTTATTTATGGATTACTGCAATTGGGTGATTGTAAGTATAAATATGGATTTACATTAATTTTATAGATAAGTAAAAATAATATAAAATTGGAAGGTTAAAATAAAAGAGTTAACAGCATCTTCCCACCTGAAAAATGGCCCATTGACAAATTCATACCCACTCGTGTGCCTTTCTTTTTCTGGATTTCCATGAGTGAAGCTCCGTGGTTGCAGGACATACAAGGCCCTCATTCTTCTGCCTTTGCTTGGCTACTTTCTCAGAGTTTCAGAATTTGTAGGTCAAGTCTTAACCATGCATTAGGATAGAGATGGCAATGGGCTGGGCTGGGCTGGGACTGGGTATCCTTTGGCCCGGGCCCAAGCCCGACCCCATGACAAATGTCCAGTCTTGACTCGGGCCTGTCACGAGGATGACCGGTAAAGCCCAAGCCTAACCCAACAAACTTTTTGTAATCTCAGTCTCGGCCCAAGCTTGTCCATTTTTATAATGTGAATTTTTAAATATTAATAAATTTCAATTTCTTTTTATATTTTAAATTCTAGAAACAGTTTTTAAATATTAATTTTTTTAATACTCACCAAATATTAATAAATTTCAATTTTTTTTATATATATGTAGGATAATTTTGTGATTAGATATATAGTATAAGGGTAATTTAGTAAAATTAATAGTAAAATTGTCGGGTCGGGCTAGGACTGAAGACATACCCATGCCCGACTCGTACTCGAGTGTGGATCTTAAAATCAGTCTCAAGCCCAAGCTCGTTAACACTGGGTAAAGCCCGACCTTTTCAGGACGGGCCAAGCTGGGTACCCGGAAATACCGAGCCCATTGCCATCTCTACATTAGGATTATTTTTCTTGGCCAGGAACCATATAATTTTTTTTTTTAATGACTGAGAATGTGCAGGTTAGCTAACACGCACCTCAATTAATTTTTCGAAACCCTGAAACATATATCATTTTAGTTATCTCTATACTTTTTTTAAAATAATCAGAACACTAATTAACTAATTATGTAAAAAAAAAAAATTGTACAAATGAGTTTTATTTTATTTTCCCTTGGTTTTTTTAATTTAAAAAAAAAAAAACTTATATATGGATTATTGCAATTTGGATGATTTTAAGTATATAGTATGGATTTACATTAATTTTACAGATAAGTAAAAATAGTATAAAACTAGAAGGTTAAAGTAAAAGAGTTAACGACATCTTCCCACCCGAAAAATGGCCAATTGACAAATTCATATCCGCCCACTTTTTAGATACCCCTTTACTACTCAAAGAAGAAATTATGTTAACAGTTATCCATTAAAAGCAAATATTTTTATTGTGAAGACGAAAATGCCCTTGATTGTTTGACTGAAAATATTTCTATTTTTGTGTTCGCACCCCAACCAATCACCGACCGTTGCTAGATTTGTATTTGCGAAACTAGTTGGGCCAAATGGTCGAACAGGTGGTGGGCATTGTGGAGGGGGCAGGTGAGGTGATGTCCAACAACAGGGAAAATGGCTAAGGGGTTTGTACAATCAAATCCACAACACAAACAACCTCTAAATCAAACCAAAATCTAGTCAAATCGAAGCCAAAACAACTAAGAAAAACAACCCAAATACAGCGATAGGTGGTGCTAGCGCAGACGCCGATCAACGAGTTGCCAAGAGTTAGGGTTATGGGGGTTTTGAAGAGGAGGCATCGATGATGCCAAGAGTGGTGGCGGGGGTAGTTTTGGTTGTCGGAATTGATCAAAATTTGGCTGAGAAATCCGAAGCCCTAATGCAAATGGCCTCTTCAACGTCTTTCTTTCAAACCCGCTTTCGAAAGAATAGAATTGCTTTATCAAATCCATTCCATAGGACTTATATGATATGCCCTGAGGTAAGCATTCGCTCAGAAAGAAGACTAGCTATATGCCTAACAAGCGAAGACTACAATACAATTAGATCATGCTACTTCCAGTTGACTGACTTCCTTACTATTCAAAGCATCTCTCAATCAATGTATGAATAAAGAAAAAACGCATACTATTACCATTTCTCGGCCTGACGACTGCTTCCGATTGAGAACGACCTAAATCAAACTTGCGTTGGTCAAGGAGGGTGGGGAATCAATGTAGAGCACACCTTCATCACCCCATTCCCCCATATTGCAATTTGAAATTTTGATTTCTTGTGCAAATTGTCAACTAACCATTTTACCCTTACTTACGAATGTCTTATAACCATACTACCCTTTATCACAATGAAAATTGAATAGATTTATGCTCGGGTTAGTAAAAGGGTATTTAAAAAGTGGGTAGGAATGAATTTGTCAATGGTCATTTTTTGGGTGGGAACTAGGGTTGTGCACAAAAAAAAGGTTAACCAAACTGAACACGCTAACTGAATCGAACCGATCTCGAATTTTTGGGACAGTTTCAGGTATTTATTATGTGATACCCGAATTTCTGGTTGGGTATCGGGTATTTATTTTAAGAGAACCTGGTATCCGGTTTATTAAGAAATAAAAAAAATAAAAAACGTAGTTTTTAAACTTATTTTCCTTTAACTTTCAAAGAGCAAGAGGCAAAAGTCCCAAATCTAAAGTATTTAAGTTATTAAATTAAAAGTTGATTTAGTATATGGAAGGAATTGTATTCATAAATTGAAATTTGAAATGTGAAAAATTAAAATTCATGTAAAGTTATGCAAATTCGGGTTATAAAACCGGATATCCAGTTTTTGACTCGAAAAATTGGGTATCCTTAAAAACGGTTCGGTTTACGGGTACTTTTTTGGGGGTATTGTTTGAGAAAAACCAGTTCGAGTATCCAGTTTTGCACAGCTCTGGAACATGCCGATAACTCAAAATAAAATGATAAAGTGAATAAATGTAGACCATGAAGTCTTAACGTTAGTTTATATTGATAGTGATAGTAACTAATTTACTATTATCTGTTTAATGAATTGTAAAGCAACTGGATATTTTAGTAATTGCACAAACCAAATCTAAAACTGACGGCTTGATGGAGCGATGGGCAGGCAGGCAGCTGCGAGCGAGTGCGAGTTTAAGACGACCACGTTTAATATACTGGTACAGCCGCGGAACACCTGGCTGTTTCTTACCGTTACAAGTTCTATTCACTTCAGCGGTGTAACATTTTCATTGGTTGGAACACTGTCACATGAACCAATAAAAACATAGTAACGCCAAACTAGAGGAAGGCGGAATACTACTGTGCTTTGCATTTGTACACCGTAGATTTCTGCTTACTTCACAAGGTCAATATTCTCTAGGGTTTATTATTTTTATGTTTTTAATTTTGGTTTAGAATAAGTTAAGATCTGAAGAGGGAATCAAATTGATTATGATCGATGAAAATGTCGGAGAATAATGAATCAAATGGTCCGGATAATTCTGAATCATCAGTTAGTCAGGTATCATATATTTTAAAGGTTTTCTTGTTGGTTGTATCGAAAAAAATTATGTTTTAATTTGATGAGTTTGATTGCTCAAAGTTGATGTGGTTTTGATGATATTATGAATGTAGGAAGATGAGGCTGCGAGTGTTTTGCAATTTGCTGATGGTAAAGATGATTTGTTTGTTGATGCACCGGATGATTTAGATGATTCTAGAAGTGCTGATAATAGAGAACTAGTTGCGAGTAATGAAGCTGAAACCTCGGTTTCTGAGGAAGACCTTGATGATATTAAGAGGGAGAATCACCACCTTGCTGGAATTGAAAATGGGGCAAGAGATGATCACTTGGTGGCTGAGCTGGAACGTTTGCGTGATTTGTTGGATAAGACGGTTGATGAGAAAGATAGTATCGAAAAGGAATACAAGGTTAAGTGGTTTCGTTTCAGTTACGAATTGATTCATCGATGTTTGTTGATTAATTTGTTTCTGGTATTGAATGAGTTTGTGATGCTTGCAGGAAGAAAGAAAGACCCTTGTGAAAGAACTTGCTAATCTTCGTCACCAGCTTAAGGTTTTGACTGGAAAAGAGTTGTTTCCAGGTGACAGTGATGATGGTGGGTTTGAACAAGGGGTTGGTGAAAGTGAGAAAAAGACTGAGGTGGTAGATGCCCCGTTGCATGAGTTGATGAGTGAATGCTCAGAGTTTCTTAGAAGTGCTCTGAATTTGCGGACACAGAGTGAGAATGCTATTCAGGAACTCAATGCAGTTCTTCATATGAAGGATCAAGAGATTCAGGATCTCAATGCAAAGGTTACTGAGCTCTCTGTTTCACAAGCTGGCACGGCATCTGAGGTTCAGCTTGAGAGGGATCAGTATGTTGAGGCTGTTGCAGATAGGATGTTGGCTTATCTTGCAACGGTAGTCAATCAAGAGGAATTATTGGATTATTCAATTGTTGGGAAAATCACTAATGTTGAGAAAAGCACTTAATTGTTGATTGAGAAGTATAATCAGATGCTTTATGAAATTTATCAACTTGGACACTGTTTGTCAAAGACCGAGGTTGACTTTAGGGTGCAAGAAGAGTTTGGTACAGTCTTTGCTGCTGCCCGTGATGAGTTACTAGAGCTCAAAAGAAGGGAAGTGGAGTTAGTGGAAAAAGTAAGCCATCTAGAAGATGAAAATAGAAAGTTTGTTGAACAAGTTGAGAAGGACAGAGAAATGGTTGAAGCAGTGAATGCTGAACTTTCCAAAACTAAAACGGAACTTGAGCAGGAGAAGACAAGGTGTACTAATACCAAAGAAAAGCTTAGCTTGGCTGTAACAAAAGGGAAGGCACTGGTTCAGCACCGGGACTCACTGAAACAATCTCTGGCGGAGAAAACAACTGAGCTTGAGAAATGCCTATCTGAGTTGCAAGAGAAGTCCAGTGCCCTTCAGGTTGCTAAATTGAGTAAGGAAGAGTTGGTCAAAAGTGAAAATTTGGTTGCATCACTACAAGATATGCTCTTGCAGAGGAATATGATTCTTGAAAAATCTGAAGAAGTCATTTCTCAGTCTGATGTGCCAAAGGAACTTCAATCAATGGATATGGTTGAGAGAGTTAAATGGCTGGTCCATGAGAGAAATGAACTGAACGTTGTATGTCGGGAATTTAGCAAATTGAAAGAGGCCATTTCTTTGATTGAATTACCAGAAACTGTTTCATTTTCTGACTTGGAGTCTCGTTTGGGTTGGCTTAAGGAATCGCTTGATCAGGTCAAAGATGAAGCAAAGATGTTGCTAGATGAACTTGGCAGGACAAAGGAAGTTGCGCGCAATGAGATTGACCGATTGAGTGCTTCACTTTTAGCAGAGTTACAAGAGAAGGAATATGTTAGAATGCAGTTGGATGACCTGACGATGAAATATGAAGAAATTGTTCAAAAGACCGATAAAGTCACACTGGAGAAGGATCTGATGATGAGGATGTTGCTGGAGGAATGTGGAATAATAATGGAAGATCAAGATGTGTTCTATCAGACTTCTGATCTGACCACGCTTGTTAATAAATGCTTTGGGAAGATAAGAGAAAAAACCCATGCCTCTTTTGATACTGCTGGTGCTGATCTTGAAATGTTTGAAAGAATGCAAAGTCTTTTGTATGTGAGGGAACAGGAGTTGGTGCTGTGTGAGCAATTACTGGAGGAAGATGCACTGGTAAGTTTGCAGATGAATGATATGTCAAATGAATTAAGAGTGGCATCTGAAGAACTTGGTGCACTTAAGGCGGAAAAAGATTCTCTGCAGAAAGATCTTGAACGGTCAGAGGAGAAATCTGCTTTGCTAAGGGAAAAGTTATCCATGGCAGTTAAGAAAGGAAAGGGATTGGTTCAAGATCGAGAAAATTTGAAATTTCAACTGGACGAAAAGAACTCAGAAATTGAGAAGTTGAGACTCAACTTACAGCGGCAAGAATCTACAGTTTCTGAGTGCAAGGATCAGATCAACAATTTGTTAACTGAGTTAGAAGACTTGAAACTTCAAGTAGATGAAAAAAACTCTGAAATTGACAAGATAAGGCTCAACTTACAGCAGCAAGAATCTATAGTTTCTGAGTACAAGAATCACACCAATAGCTTGTCAACTGATTTAGAGCGCATCCCGAAGTTGGAGGCTGATATTGTTGCTATGAATGATCAACGTAATCAACTCATGCAGTTTTTATCGGAGAGCAATAAAATGTTGCAGAGAGTTATTGAATCTGTTGATCACATTGTTCTTCCCATTGATTCGGTTTTTGAAGAGCCTGTGGAAAAGGTGAACTGGATTGCGGGGTACATCAATGAATGCAAGGATAGCAGGATGTGTTTAGAGCAAGAGTTGGGAACAGTGAAGGAGGAAGCCGGTTCACTGGCTAGCAAGTTCACAGAAGTCCAAGCAACTATGAAGTCACTGGAGGATGCCTTGTCAACTGCTGAGAAGAAGATTACTCAACTTGCTGAAGAAAAGAGGGAATTAGAAGCTAGTAAAGAATTTGTTCAACAAGAGTTAGAGAAAGCAATAGAAGAAGCCCGATCCCAAACTAGTAGTTTTGCTGAAGCTTGTGCGAATAGCAAGTCACTTGAAGATGAGTTGTTGAGGGCAGAAAAGAATATATCTGTGCTCACCAATGAGAAAGAAGAGGCTCAGGGCAGCAGAGCGGCTGCTTTAATGGAACTAGGGAAAGTATCGGAGGAATTTGCATCTCAGACGAGCAAACTAACCGAGGCATATAAAACGATAAAGTCTCTTGAAGATGCACTATCTCAGGTAGAGACTACTGTTGCATCACTTACGGAAAAAAATAATGTTGTACAAGTTGGCAGAACCACTTTGGAGAGTGAGATGCAAAAGCTGAAAGATGAAGCTGAGTCTCATACTGTTAAGCTGGCAAATGCACACACAACTATAGAATCACTGGAAGATGCATTGGCAAAGGCAGAGAAAGATATTTCTGTACTTGAAGGCGAAAAGAGAATTGCGGAGGAGGAGATATCAACACTTAATTCCAAGTTGAAGGCATGCCTTGAAGAGTTGGCTGGAACAAGTGGCAGCTTAGAAAGTAGGTCTGTGGAGCTCATTGGGCACCTTAATGATCTTCGAATGCTTGTGAAAGATGAGAGGCTTTTATCGATTGTGAAACAGTGCTGTGAGAGGAAAATTGAGGGCTTACAGGATATGGACCTCGTCATTAAGCACATAATGGACCAGGTTGTTGGCATAGGTCCAGGAGAGCCGCTAAATCCCCCTGACAATGAGGTAAATATGCCACCAAAATGTATTCAGAAATTAGATCTCATACAGTGACATATAATTTCACTTATAGTTGGGATTTTCAATGACAATCCATGCACTGATATTAAAACTATGTTGCACACAAAGAGGACAGGTTTCATTATTCTAGAAAATAGTTTATGTTTTTCAACTCTGTTCTATTCTCCCTTCTTCTCTGTCTGTCTGTGCATAAAATGAAGACATTACTTTGTTTCTCTTTGGCTAAGTTGTTATGGATTCCCTCTTATTAACTGGCTTAACTTTTCAACTTGTTTCAGGGAAGTTCAGATGTAAACAAGTTTTTCATAAATGACCTTGACAACATTGAAATAGAGGATGATGAGGTACTAGTGGCAGATGCCGACAATATATCTTCATCTTTTAGAAAGATGGCAGAAGGGTTCCGGATGAGAAACAAAATTCTTGCTGATAAGTTAGAAGGTTTCTTAACTTTCCTTGATGAGTTTATTGCTGCTCTGTTGAGAAAATTACAGACAACAAGGGACGAAGTTATAAAAATGGTTCAGAGCATTGAATCTTTAAACCAAAAACTGAAGATTATGGAAGTGTATAAAAAGGAACATGAGGAAGCTATGGAAAGCTTAGAAAATGATGTTACAATGCTGCTGTCTGCTTGTAGTGATGCTACTAGAGAACTGCAGTTTGAAATCAAGAATGATCTACTAGAACTGAATTCAGTTCCCGAGCTTGGAAAACTGAACCACAGTATTTTCCAAGAAGTGAGAGAAGTTGGTGGAGGTGACACAGCAGAGCACCAGAAGAAGCTTGACGGCAGCAACAAATACTTAGAGACAGCAGCAAAATTGCTATCTTCCACTAGGAAAGCTCAAAGTCTGAGTAAACTGTTTGAGAGTACAAGTACTGTGGCAGCCTCTACAATTCAAGATTTACAGAAGCAATTGCGTGAAACCTCAAAAGCTTTTGAAAAAGCCATAGAAGAAAGAGATATATACCAAAATATGGTTTCAAAGTTGGAGACTGATGCTGATTCGTTAAAAGATTCAAGTACTGAGACAGCCTCTACAATTCAAGATTTACAGAAAAAATTGCATGAAACGTCAAAAGCTTTTGAAAAAGCCATAGGAGAAAGAGATTTATACCAAAATATGGTTTCCAAGTTGGAGACTGATGTTGATTCATTAAAAGATTCGTGTAGAGAACTGGATGTCAAAGTAGAGGATTACCAAGCCATCAAAGAAAAGTTGAACGAAAAAGAGGCAGAAATTTCATCATTGTACGCTATATTGTCACTGAAAGAACGAGGTGAATTTAATTGTTCTAATCTTGTTGAACATATAGATAAGTTGTTATCGTTTACTTGTCTTAATTAATTATTTGCAATTTACTTTTTACAGAGGCAGAGGAATCTCTATTGTCAGCTTCGCAGGTCAGGCAACTTTTTGACAAGATAACTGGAATCGAAATCCCTGTTCCTGAATCAGAGGTGGGAGACGTGGAGCCTGAAATTTCAGCTGATGTGAAGAAGTTATTTTGCATTATTGATAGTGTTGCTGAGTTGCTGCATCAAGTAAACTCGCTAAACCTTGAGAAAGAAGAACTGGAGTCAACTTTATCAACACAAACTGCTGAAATTGAACTTCTAAAGGGAGATGTTGAAACACACATTACAAATAAGCCAGACTCAGAAAAGCTCAAAAGTGAGCTCTCTGACCTCACAGTTGGTTTGGAGAAAATGATTAATATATTGGGATGCGATGAAGATGTTGTTGACCAAAAATCTGCTGGTCCAAGAGGGATCTTAGCAGTAGTAGAGAAGCAGGTTATGACCTTGCTTTCAGAATCTGAAAACTCAAAATCCAAAATCCAAGAACTTGGTACCAAGTTGCTTGGGAGCCAAAAGGTTGTAGATGAATTGGCAACCAAAATAAAGGTACTTGAAGATTCCATTCAAGTTAGGACTGTTGAGCCAGAGATTGTCCAAGAAAGGAGCATCTCTGAAGCACCTTCAGTGCCCACTGGCTCAGAGATATCTGAAATTGAAGATCCGGTTGGTATTTTTGTTCTAATCTTTTTATAACTTGACACAAATTTATTAGCGAGCACCACCCAAAATTCAGGGCATGTTTTATTTGCTCATTATCTGATATTTGTACAATTTTAGTCAAATGGGTGTCTGAGGTTTAGACTTAATTGATTGGACCAAAAAGAAATAAGGTTACATAAATAATTTATGCATCAAAAGAATCATAACTTTTCTGCTTCCTTTACATCTTGTTTCATGATAATCTGGCTTGCTCTTTGTTTTACGTGTGCCATATGTAAAGCTACAGTTTTTGTGTTCATGAAAATTTTAATCTAGCTATGGATGATAAATAATAATAGCATAATTTGTGTTTAAGAGTAATAATATATGGCATCATTATTGTAGGGTTTAACTGTTATATATTTCTATAGAAAGATTGTGCTTGTATCCAAATCTCATTTTGGTATGATTCTCATTATTTCTTGATTTCGTTGGAGATGGAGAACTGCATGTAAAAATCCGTTGTGTTCTGATGCTTATGCAGGGAGCACTTGGAAAGAAATCAATATCTCCTGTTGCTTCCGCTGCTCACGTACGATCTATGCGGAAGGGATCCACTGACCATCTCGCAATCAATATTGACTCTGAATCTGCTCGCCTGGTTAATAACAGTGAGGAAACTGATGATGAGGACAAAGGTACACATCATTATAGGCTTTCCTAATTTCCAAAATAGTAGTTTGGAGACTTTATCCAATTTTTTTTCTTTCTTTTCTGCAGGTCATGTATTCAAGTCTCTTAACACAACAGGTCTCATCCCAAGACAAGGAAAGATGGTTGCAGATCGAATAGATGGAATTTGGTAAAGTGCTAAATTTCTATTCAAATTTGATATCAAAGTAAAGAAATTAGTTTATATGGTGTATTATCATGATAAATTATAGTGCACCGAATTAACAGTGAGTCGGTTTATAATTACACAGGGTATCTGGTGGTCGAATTTTGATGAACCGTCCCAGAGCAAGGCTAGGCCTTATTGCCTATTGGCTTTTCTTGCATATATGGCTACTGGGAACCATTTTGTAACTAATTCTGTGATCATGTACCATTTGGACCAAGCACATCCTCGTTTCATGTCAGCGATTGAAACTTGTATCATAGATAGATGTAATATTGTCATTCTTTTCTCTTATTTACTCCTTACCCACACTTTGTAATCTTTAGAGGTGCAGGTGCAGGTACCCGCCAGTGCTGGTGCCTAATGTGTTGATATAAAGCTATTCATTCTTTATTTTAGGTCTCTGCAATTGCATTTTAGGGGTTGCAGGGAATGCTCTAAAGTTGTGAAATAATTCACATTTGTCCTCTTTTTGATATAAATATTAAGCAATAGATTTATGCATGATAGATGATGGAGAAAGATAATTCTAACTGTAATTTTGTTTACCTTTTCGTACCATTTTTCTGCTGTTGTATGGAATGTCACTTTGCACAACAACAATGACAATATGCATTTATATAAATTCTATATCCTATTTTTTTTCGAGTACATTTCAAGATTTCACATACGTTTACATACAAAATATGATCAATTTTATTTTCCTTATGGATTTATAATGGCCGGATGGAATCATGGCAAGACCTTAGGTTATCTAAAGGTCTTGTGTTGAGTTTCATCAGGTGGTTATCTATTATATTTGTAATTTACTTTGAGGTGTTTAATAAATTTGACGGATTAGTTGAGGTTGGTACAAATAGTCCGATTGTGAAAATACATGTAAGCATAAACTGGATGGGATGGACATCCAATACTAAAATATATACAATGTTAAAATATATTAGATTTGGTCCATTGGCTCAAGGGAAGCAGAGGGTGAGGGCACAATTGTGAATTGTGTTTAAAATCCAAAATTGATTAATGCTTTCATCGGCAATTATAGACCTTTCATTTCCTCTTGAATGCTGAATTTCCAATTCCACCCTTCAAAACAACCACGTGGCGAGACGGGCAAATTTCGGAAGTTATTAAAGCAAATATGGTTATGTCCATTTGTTGATTTCTTTCTGCATTCTCAAGCTCAACAGTGAACACAACTCAAGCAACGACCAAAAACCAAGTACCTGAAACGGTACGAGCAGAGCTTCTTCTTCTTGTGAAGATTATTATTTTGCTTTTTCATTTCTTGTTTTCTTTGTTTATAGTATACATATTGTCATATTGATATGAACGAAGCCTGTTCTCAACAGATTAAAGAACACCCATCTGAAGTTGGGGGCTGACATCGATTATGGGGTTACTCACTATCAACCATTGGCAGATAACAAACCATGCCTCTACCATTCACTTACTTTCCCCAGTTTCTACATTATTTTGTAAGTCTTAATTACGGTTTATTTTATGGTCTTTGCTTCTTTATTGTAACAAAGTTGTTACATTTGAGTAGGTCCAAAGTTTAATTGCCTTCGTAGTGGTGTTAAATCACAAAATGTGAGATTCTCAACCTTCTATTGTGTTTTCTTTATCCTATAACAACGATGACATTGACAAAATTCTTGTCACTGACGGTAAACTTGTTTTTTGAAGGCTTTAAAATTTAGCATTAAGGCATTTGCGAGCAGGAAGTCGGTGAAGAAACTCAAAAGAGATGAACAATTGCGTTTAACAAAAGAAACCAATGTTGTAGCAAATGGGTCTACGGCAGAAGATGATTATGTTAAAGATGGGAGTCAGGTGTCCTCTGTTGATGATTTTGCACCACAGAAATTGGCTACCTTCCCTGCGAGGAGTAGTGTGCTTCAAGCATGCACTGTCACATGTGGAATATTAGCTACTCTTGGCTTAATAATTCGACAGGTTTTATATGGTTCTACTGCTTTGCTTCACTTTGCTCATATTTGTTGATTCCCTCACAATTTGAAGCTGAATTATGAATTTGAGGCTTGTTTCTAAGACATCACTTCTTACTTCTATCAAAGTTTGAACAGGAAATTTGTGGGAAGATGTTGCTCAAGAAAAATTTTCTCCTTATTAAATGTTGTGTTATATATTGTAGGTATCTCATGTTGCCTGTGTGGAAGGATTTCCGATCCATGACTGCTCCAACGAAGTATCATGTATAAATTTCATGTTCGTCCTCTTTTGCTTATAGGGAGTTTTGTTTCATTATGAAAGGAACATGCTACTTCTTCCTCTTTTTGCAAATAAGAAAGCATAAAGAGGCAACTTTGATGGGGCAGTAAAAAATTAGTTTTACTCATGCTTTGTCAAGTTGCTTGAGATTTTATTTTTAAAGTGGATTGATCTGTTTGATGTTTTCGATTTAGGCAGATCTTTTTGTTATTATCTGAGAGTAGTAATTCCATTGAGTCATCCTTTTTCCCATGTGTACAGTTGGTTTTGAGATATGGCATCTTGAGTTGATATCAGGATTAGTTATACTGATATCATTGTGCCGATATCTACTATTGAAGGCATGGCCAGATTTTGCCGAGTCTAGTGAAGCAGCCAATCAACAGGTAGCTCAACTCATTTTCTAACATTGTCTAGGAAGCAACTTAATCAAACTTCATATATATCATCTCTATTAACAGTCATATACTTTTTACTCGTAAGAGGTGGTATAAGAGTCGAACTTGTTCCACATCCACTGCATGCTGGGCTATCACACTGGAAGAAAGCTGTGCAGTTTTTTATTGAATTCAAATGGCTACCTGTTTTCTGATGCAGGTACTTACTTCTCTTGAACCTTTGGATTACTTAGTTGTTGCTTTTTTGCCTGGGGTTAGTGAGGTAAGCAGTGTAATTATATTTGCTTCCCATAGTTTTCTAAATTTAACTGGTATTCTAATGCTGCCTGTATGTATGGGCTGTCCAGGAACTCCTCTTTCGAGGTGCACTATTACCACTTTTTGGAACCAATTGGACTAGTATCTTGGTGGTTGCTACTATTTTCGGTGTTCTACACTTGGGCAATGGTCGAAAATATTCCTTCGCAGTCTGGTACTCATCTTGATTTAATGGAATTTTTTTCTAAAGTGTTACATATTTTGATCATACTGAAATTCCCATTTTCACATCTTATATTTGGATTCTGTCACTGATATTTTCTGCCACATCTTCTGTATTTGATGATTGAAATAAATTGTCCACTCTAGTAATTCTTTAACTACTAATCATTCTTAAATATACTATATGAACAACTTTCACATCTTATAACTTTCCAAGCCTGGATTTCAAGAAACCCTAGTTTGTAATACAGTGAAAAATATGAAAGACTATGGTATTTGTTCCTCTTTTTGCAAAGAATATTTCAACAAAGGTGGTTGTATTATAGACAACCATAATTATTCAATCTGTTCAGTTGATTATTTGAAACTGTTGACTTACTTTTTCAACAATTGTGATTTTATTAGCTACTTGTTTCAGGGCCACCTTTGTTGGCTTCCTTTATGGTTATGCAACTATTGTATCAAACAGCGTCATTGTGCCGATGGCTTCTCATTCGTTGAATAATTTGGTTGGAGGAATTTTATGGCGCTACACATCAAAGACATCAAACTCTAAGTAGATATCATGCGATACTACTTTTTCTCTGTAGTGTCTTGTCATTCAAGTTCCGAAAATCACACGACAAAAAGCTTTCAATTTTATATTCTTGCTAGGTGTTTTTGCCCAAGTGTGATATGTTCAAATATATTTATGCATTCATGTAAACTGAATTCTGCACAGGACCCAGGTAAATACGTGCACAAATTTTATGTATTTATGTCTTCTTCAGCATGTAATATAAGCATTCAGTTTATGAACATTTTCTGAAATCTTCCCAACTATGGCATCTCTGGGATTTAGTTTGTTTGAGAAATAGAACTAGGATTTATTGAATTAGGGTTTAGGATTGAAAGAGGAATTTTTTTTTTTTTTCAAATACCTATAACTTTTTTATCCTTGCGGATGCAGCCATTGATCGCTTCCCATCCTCCATTAATACGAAAGATCTCGACCCAAATGATGTTATTGTTATGTATCGTACTGTATCTTCCTATTTTTCCCTCGAACATTTCATACTATCTTTTGTCATCCATAACCAAATTTATCAGGGAAAAAAAAAAAAAAAAAAAAAAAATTCATTTCCATTACCCAAAGTAGTGTTTTATTTGTCTGAACTTGAAGCTCCGTGAACATGATAATATATAATGAATCCGGAGATAAATTATTACTAATGTGGTTTAAATATTAAATGATGATGAGCAGCTTGTGTGAGCCACTGTCCGCATAATCGACCTTGCTGCAATTGCAACATCCAAAAGGTGCCAGCCGTCTGCGAGCAATGCTGCCGCTGATGGCTGATGATCAATTAGCTAGCTGCTGTGCTTAACTTCAATGGTTTCTTAAATAAATGTTCCATGCATGTTCCAATGGTTAATATCTTAAATAAATAAATATAGTTTATCCAATTTATATATGTGGAGAGGTTTTTAGTTTTAATTTTATTTCCTGAACAAACATGCATATATCAATAAATCAACATTGATGACAAGGATTATAAACTCATCCATGAACCAAACATGGGAACTTGATTATCTGTATTTCACTGTTTTTTTTTTTTTTTTTTATATTATCTGCATTTCATTGGGTTTAAACAATCTTGGAAATTTCATTTGGCAAGAATGAAATTACTGGATTTCTTACCAAAATTTTACATTCATTCTTAATCCGATCCCAAAACCCTACATCTCATAATATAAATGCCACTGCTGGGAACTTATGTATTGTATATTCTCCCTCTCTTAACTGATCGACCAACTTTCCCAGATAATGAAGTCATTGGCAATAGTGTGTGTTATTCTCCATCTTCTTGTGGCTTTTATCACTGTAGATGCAGCTATTGATGATCGTTGATTCGTTTCCCATCCACCATTAATACTCAACATCTCTATCCACTTGATCTTATTGTTGTCTATCGTACGTATATCTTCCTATTTTCACTTTAACATCTCATACTATCTTCTCTTTTCTCATGCATCACCAAGTATATATACCAAAAGAAAGATCAAGTGTTTGTTTTCTACTTGAAGTTCCATTTACAACTTGAAAATTGTTCTCAGCATGATGACTTCTTGATAATATGTAACGTTATATCAATTATAGAGTAGCGATATTGTTATGAAAAATACTATCCTTACAAAGACCCATATAAAGAGGGTTACAAAGTGACATCGTCCAGAAGAAAAAAACAAAAAAAAAAACAAAAAAAAAGAGAGAGAGAGAGAAATCATGAAAATCAAGGGTGGGGAATGTCTTTGTATTTTCTATTTGTATGTGTTTTTGTAAAACTAGCATTGCCCTATTGTTATATGTTAGAAGCTTTGGATTAACAAAATTTATGTGGTTTAAAAGAACAGCTTGTGTGAGCCATTGTGCTGATAATCGAGCTTGCTGCGATTGCAACATTGAAAAGATCCCACCCGTCTGCGTCCAATGCTGTTGCTGATCCGTGATTAACTAGTGTTGGTGCTTGATTTTGACACTAACAACTCGCACGACAAAATGTTAAGTTGTTTTTTAAAAGTTATACGTAAATGATTGCTAATAATAAATGACAAACGATTTTTAAAGTGGTTCGGTTGCTTAACGCAAGTCCTACGTCCACTGTTCTTTTATACATGAGAGAGAACAAGAGACCGCGTATAGCGAACAGCAAGCAGAGATACAATAACTGATTATTTAGACAGAATATTAAGTCAGTCTCTTTCTCATAAATTATCTTTGCTTTGAGAATATAGATTACAATCAAAGTGTAAGTTTTTTGTATTAGAATCTCGAAAATGAGAGGGGGAGTCCTCAAATTATAGTAGATGAATTCAAGGTAATGATTACAAATCTGCAAGTAGGTAGATGCCGTGTAAGTCATTCCTTACCTCACATTGGCTAATAACTTAAGATATATCCTCAAATTACCTAGGGCTTGGATAGGTGTGCGACTCTCATTCACTTATCTGAATCTGTCAAGTTGGCAACAACCGTATTCTTTCTGTCTTGGGGCGACGTGACAGTTCTTAGACGATGCAAAACCTTCTTGAACTCTGATTCGAGCGAGCTGATGTAAGTTTACATCAACCTTGATTTTTTAGGCATAACAACTAGCTTAAATAAGAAATAAACAAATGTTCCATTAGTCAATAACTCAATTTGTGTACTTGTTAAAAATGTCTTGGCTTCGTTTGTTTCAGTTTTGGGAATACTACTTTTAGTATTCCCAAAAAAGTTAAACAGTAAAATATTTAAAAACTCTGGCTCCGTTTGGTTCAAAATTTGGGGGTTTTGCGAAAAGTTTTTTGAAAAAAGTTAAAAAAAAGTTGAATTGGGCGGGTATTACGATGTAGGATTTATAAATTAATAAAATACCCTATATATTTATTTTTTTACAAAATACCCCCTATAATAAAACATTAAAAGTTAACAAAAATACTCCTAACATACCCTCAAACACCCCCAGTCGGCCACCACCAAAGGAGGTGGCCGAAGTCACCTTATGGGCGCATGACCGGCTGGATCTTGCCGGTCATGCGCCGATATGGCCTTTTCCGGCCAGATCCATGGTGGATCTGGCCGGCAAAGGCCAGATATACGGCCAGATCTGGCCGTCAACCGCCAGATCTGGCCATATTTGCTCTCAACGACGGCCAACAAACGGTCGTCGTTGATGGTCAACGATGACCGTTTGTTGGCCGTCGTGACCGACTGTTACGGCCAAAGATCTGGCCGTCAACGACCAGATCTTTGGCCTTAGATCTGGCCTTTTCCGGCCAGATCCACCATGGATCTGGCCGAAAAAGGCTAGATCGGCGCACTACTGGCCAGATTCAGCCGGTAGTGCGCCATCCTACCAGATTCCGGCCAGATTCAGCCGGTAGTGCGCCATCCTACCAGATTCCGGCCATTTTCCGGTGGTGGTGGCCGGAATCTGGTAAATGTGGATTATTGGGGTGTTTTTGTAATTTAAAAAAAAATATTTAGGGGTATTTAATTAAATTATCAAATTTAAGGGGTTTAAAAAAAGTTGAATAATATTGGGAGTAGTATTCCCAAAAATATGAGTTTTTTGGTATTTTACTGTTTAACTTTTTTGGGAATACTAAAAGTAGTATTCCCAAAACTGAAACAAACGCAGCCTCTGATTTTTGGGAATACTACTCCCAATATTATTCAACTTTTTTTAAACCCCTTAAATTTGATAATTTAATTAAATGCTCCTAAATATTTTTTTAAAAATTACAAAAACACCCCAGTAATTCACATTTACCAGCCACCACTGCCGGAATCTGTTAGGATGGCGCACTACCGGCTGAATCTGGCCGGTAGTGAGCCGATCTCGCCTTTTTCGGCCAGATCTAAGGCCAAAGATCTGGCTGTCTTTGGCCGTAACAGTCGGTAACGACGGCCAACAAACGGTCGTCGTTGACCATCAACGATGACCGTTTGTTGGCCATCATTGACAAGCAAATACGGCCAGATCTGGCCTTTGCTGGCCAGATCCACCGTGGATATGGTCGGAAAAGGCCATATCGGCGTACGACCGGCAAGATCTAGCCGGTCATGCGCTGATACGGTGACTCCGGCCACACTCCGGCGGTGGTGGCCGACTGTTCGTATTTGAGGGTTGGTTAGAGTGTTTTTGTTAACTTTTAATGTTTTATATAAGGGTGTTTTTGTAAATAAATAAACATAGAGGGTATTTTATTAATTTGTAATTCTTTCATCGTAATACCCGCTCAATTCAGCTTTTTTTAAACTTTTTTAAAAAATCTTTTTCCAAAAACGCAAAATTTTGAACCAAACGGAGTCAATCTTAATTTGCAATTCATGCATGGATTGATTTCCCTGAATTATCATTCAGAAGAACCCTTTCTTTTAATTAAGATATAATGTTATCTATGGTGACTTAATATTCATCATATATTTATAAGGTAGCATAATCAATCACCATATATTTGTAATAAATTTATAATAATTAACTCTAAAAATACTTAATATTAATTATCAACCTGATGATAGAAGAGTAAAATGGAGGTTTCATGAATTTTTGAGTTTAAGTTTTCGCAGACACTAACAGAGATGACCATTGACCACTCAGACTCTTACTCCACCGACATTTCCAAGATTCGGAGGACTAATTAAAAGGGTGCCAAGCTGACCAGACACTCCCGATGATCATAAAACAAATACATAATCATTTATGTATTGTATAAATCAAATCTTGAAAATTAGAGTCTTCAACTAATCTAGAAAATTGTCTCAAATAAATAATATTTCGTTGTTCCAGTATGACTAACGTGGATTTTACTCGATTAAAAATCAAAGAAGGCAGAGCTCAAAGACACAGCTTATTTTATCACAAAATGAAAAATATATCTTTTCTTTTCATATTGAGTCATGCTATCGTTTTCCTTTTCTTGGATAAAATGTTGGGGCAGATTTTAATGTCATTTTCTAAAATTAATATTTAATATTTTGTAAAATAGTACAGAAAAATGAGTCAGTTCTCGCTACGTGCAATTCACTTCAAGTGGTAGTCAATAATGGCTGTGATCTGTAAAATTTAGAAGCCAAGTATCGCAGCTTAATAAGAGTCTTAGCATGTTTTAGTCAACCATCACGTGAGAGAACAGACTCATCGGACTTTAAGAACAGGCCAATCTGCTTTTCTCTGTTTCTGTTTATGTTTCTGTTTCTGACAAGTAACTAACGACTAACACTTTAACTCAAGTCTTTAACCTTACATACCCCCGTAGATTTCTTTCATTAGTTATGTCATAATTACAAATTTAGCAAGCTAATGCAAGAACATGGGAACCTGTGCTGAACAAGGAGGCTGTCCCTCGGATTACTTGGCTATTGCTATAGCCATCCTCTTTTTCATTTTGTATGTTTTTAATCTGTTCTATCATTTTTTTTCTTTAAATCTCTTTTTTAGTATTTGGCTGTTGTTATTTACAAGTTTTAGTTATATATTAGTGGGTTTAAGACAAGTATCATTTTTCAATTGTGATTCCTCAGTTTAATTGGTCATATTCTTTGTAAGGAAATTAATATCTCTGATGGGTGTTTGTCCACTTGATTTTTTTTGAATTTCTGTTCCTGACCTTCTTTTTTGACTTTGTTGATTTGGGTTGTGTTTAGTTTGTGAAAGGGTAGATCGTGTTACTGTTGATGTAGAGATTACATTCGTTAAGCGGTGAATTGTAATTGATGGGTATCTGTTTGATGATATGTCTATCTCGATTTTAGACTTCCTCGAGTAAATTATGAATTCCCTCAACTTGTTTTTGAGCACTGAGACATGAAAAACAGATAATTTAGTCTATTTGGCGCTTATTGCTCAGACTGTAAATCAGTGCCAAGTGAACAAGTTAACAATTCAACTCCTGTCCCTTTTTATTGATTAGTTTCTTTCTTTCAGGCTTCTATCGAAATCTTTATTACCCTTTCTGGTACATAAGGTTCCTCGAATACAAGGCAGTGGCTTCTGGATTCCACTGATTCAAGTTTTTGCTAGTTTCAACCTTCTACTGTCACTTATGGTAGGCTTTGTTTTTCATGTTGATCTTATAAATTTATTCTATAACCTTATTCACCAAAACCTTTATATGGGATTTTTTGCATTAATTTTTACCAAATTGAAACTATGCTTTGTGCAGATGTCTGCCAGTTTCTTTAAATTTAGAAGGCGGCATTCGTGGCAGTTTTGCTATGTTTGGGCAGGTTCTTGAATCTTGACTACTTTTGTTTCATTTGTGCATTTCAAGTTGTTCAATCTGGTAGTGATATTTTACTGTGGATTTAATCATGTCTCCATATTAAGCTGAGGTATCTCTTGCTCTCAGTATGGTTTGAAGGTCCACTTGGATTTGGTTTGCTGCTGAGTTGTCGTATAGCACAGGCCTTCCAACTGTATTACATTTTTGTAAGGTAAATAACCATCTTTCCAAGTGAAGAAATTACATTGTTTAGTCGAGTTCAATGTACCATGCTATCCTGTGGTGCTAACACCTAACCTCAATTAATCTGACCATTTGGCTGGTAGATAGCCCCTCATAATATGCATCTCCTGACTTCTTAGATGCAGACATGCATGTGTGCTAACACAGATAACTTAAGAACAGTCTCCTATGCCAGGTAAAACTGAGTGAGAGCTTTTAAGGGAGAGTTTGTCTTTGACAAGATGCAGTAAACTGTTGGTTAAACCATTGCATAAAATGCTTGTCGTGGGTTCAGGCAAAGTTAGAAATTTTTTTATACAACAAAAGGTAGCCTTAAGACTTACCAGGGGTTCAGGACTCTTCTCAATAATCCAAATTTGCTGCAGGGTACACTAGATGTTTTATTCAAGACACATAGTCATAGACCTAGGACTTGATGACTATTTGACATGCAAATTTTCCAAAGACCTTGCATGTCCTTAAGTGTACTTAACTATTGTAGAGGTTTTACTATTTGCTGTCTCTATACAAGTTTTCTCCCAATCTTGCTCAATTATTTGCTGTTGATGTTTCAGGAAGCGTTTACCACCAGTCAGATCTTATATTTTTCTTCCACTAATTCTCGTTCCATGGATTACTGGGGCTGCGTGTAAGACTCTTTAAATAGATACAATTATTTTTCTGGAATTCTATTTGTGCGCTTATAGAATTACAGCAATGACATTAATCTAGTTTGGGAACAGTAATTCTGTAGAGTTCATAATATTTTTCTGCCCATGCCTCTTTTTGCTGGTTTGTATTTTGCATACGTGTGCAACTCATCATTTACAGATATTAAGTCCACTCTTTTTCTTCTATATATTTGCTTGCTTTGTTCTTGTTATCTGTTCTTCTTTCTTCCAGTCATATCTTCACTAAAATCTGACTTTGCCTGTGCCATAGCTCTTATTGCCTTTTCTTTTTCAGTTTATAGTTGACTTAGGTTATCTGTGAAGCCCCTCAGTTTACCGTCATTGCATACTGCTTATTTGTTTGTAATCATGTTACAAAATGAAGGATCATGAAAATGAAAAAGTGTTGCTTCGTTTATATTTGTTATCCTGTTCCTTAGTTGAGTTCACGTCTTCTTTTTCTCTCTTTCCTTTCATTCCCAACTGTTGAGAATGCCATCCTACTGTTGGTGGATTTACTAGAATGTCCACTTAATCCTCCCTCTAACTACAAGGACCTTTTTTTTCTTGTCTTTTGTCTTCTGTCTTCTTGACCATCCATCAATTCTATATATATTTTTTCTGGTTCAACTTCAATAATAATTTGACTCACGTAGTTGTGACCAAATTATAAAGCATCATAAGAGTTGTACATTCTATTTTGAAATTTTCCCTTCCAGTTTGAGTGAGTAATCTTTACTGCCAAATAATGGTTACGTATATGTCATACTCAGCAGCCTAATCAGGTCTTGGTAATCATTGCTATTAATTAATTTTTCACACTTTCTGCTTTATCTCCACAGTGATCACTTGTTTCTAACAGGAAGGGCTATTTGTGCTGTAGTTATCCATTTGAGGAAGCCTCTCAATGATAGATGTCAATTTGGAGTTCATTGGGTCATTCCAGTGGTGTTCCTCCATGCATTGTATGTTGCCACTTTGGTTGTATTTTTGGGGGCAATTCGGCATATAGAGTTCAGGTTTGATGAACTCAAGGACCTTTGGCGGGGAATAGTAGTCTCAGCCACATCCCTTGGTACTCTTTCTTCTATGTTCTACAAGGCTGCATAGTTTATCTTTTACTTTGTAAAATTTTGGATTTGATATACTGTCACTGTTGAACTACGTATACATACTTTCCTCAAATCATCCAGCAAGAACTTCAATCAAGTTCAATCTGTGGTTTGGGAAAGAAAGAATGTGATGCAGAGTCACTAATGTAATCAGGCTTGATTACAGTGTTGATATGTTTGACATTTATTCGCTGGTTATCAGACACATTTCCTGAAACGTTTTCTTTCTATCTTTCTCATAAAAACTTACATGTAAATTATGATTGTCATTGGCAGCATAGATAACTATTTTTAGCTCGATGTCAATATTACCCGTAAGTTAGTTGACAATATAGAGTGTGAACAACTTGATTTTGAAAGTGAAACAGGGTATCTCTCCTTCCTATTGGCATGCATCATTTAAGGTGTGCTTTTTATGCTTCCAGGTTTGTGGGTCCTTGCTTATATTTTAAATGAAATTCATGATGATGTTGCATGGCTTCAAGTTTGCTCCAGGTTTCTGCTTTTAGTTACGGTATGTTTTATAATTAGAGTGTTCTTTTTTCCTAATTTTATGCAACTGCTATGATCACTTGATTATTGATACTTGAGTATTGAAGTCTTCAGCATAACCATATTTGCTAACAATTTTGAGGTTTTTTACAGGCAAGTATTCTTATACTGGTTTTCTTCTCTATATCAAGTTCAGAGCCTCTGCTCTCTCAAATCAGCCTGAGAAGAGAACCTAGAGAATTTGAAACGATGGGTGAGGCTCTGGGCATACCTGACAGTGGAGTACTATCTCAAAGAGAACCAGCTCCAGTCATAGATCCTAATAAACCTCTGGACCAGCTTCTTCTGAACAAAAAATTCAGGCAGTCTTTTATGGCATTTGCCGACAGGTATTCTGTTCCTCCCTAAAGTCCACTGATTTATCATCTATTTAAAATTCTTTTTATTGGAAAAAAGATAATAAATGTAGCAAATATCTGATATTCCAACTGAGGGGCCTGATGATTTCTTTTAAGCTTCATAGTCAATATATTAATTCAAGATGATTGGTGCCTCAGAATTTAAAATTTTTGGGCAAAAAAAGTTCCAGAGGCTCCACTTTTCTTTAGAAGCATTTGGAGATAATGAGAAGTACAGAATTGATATCATTGCTTTCTCTTAATTGTAGTTGTTTGGCTGGAGAGAGTGTTCATTTCTATGATGAAGTGCATGAGCTTGGAAAAATTCCTGCAGATGACCATGTAAGGAGGATTTACATGGCCCGGCATATTATTGGGAAGTACATAGTTGCAGGTTTGTGATTTCCATGATGTGGCAATTTGTACTAAAATTTTATCTATCACATTCCTCTGCATTACTTCAGCCTTAGATCTCATATAAAGTACTAGTTGATATAATCAACAATGGTTTTTTAGTTAAATGACAAATTTGAGTGCTAATTGTTTTCTCTTGGAGTGTTAAACTTCATGTTCATTGGTTTTTATTCTCTAACCTGAAGTTTTTCCGACACCACAAGGGTCAATTCTATGTTTGGTTTATGTGGAGCAGCAATTCATATGTATCTTGTTTTTCTTCCGGGCGTATAAAATCTTGTATCTTGCTCACTTCTGCATGGTACAGGTGCTTCCATGGAGGTGAATATATCTCATCGAATCCGACAAGAAATTTTGACTACTGCCAATCTGGCACATCCTGATCTGTTTAATAATGCAGTAAATGAGTTGATCCAGTTGATGAAAACGGTGAGTCATTTACTAAGGTAGACTCGATTCTGCATTCGCTTTAGATCAGTATTAATTGTATCCTAATATAGCATATATGTCTCAAGTTTTCTTTTTCTTTTTGACTGCGAAGAACTTAGGAAGAGACTACTGGTCATCCATGTTCTTCATCAAATTAAAAGAAGAAGCCAACATGAGATCAGCCAGCCATGAGCTGGAACAAATGACAGGCTGGAATTTCTCTCCTAGGTTGAGTTCTGTAAATTGTCACGATGATCCCTTTCAGCAGGAACAATTTCCCAAGACCTCCGGTCATAATAGTCACGATTCAGACCCGTCAAGTGCCAAGAATTGTTAATTACGGTGGCTGGGAATCCTTATCTCACATAGGTATAACTTATTGAGTACATGATCAGGGCGCTTTACACCAAGTCTTAAATGGATTTGGGAAGCAAAATATGAAAGAAAGGATGAAAACTGAAAGATAAAACAAAAGAAAGGAGGCTGAACTAAAAATCAAGTGTGATAATTTGGAGCCTGCAATACATTTATACAGAGACAACTATCAAAGGTCTCCCCAATTTGTAAATGTGTTCTCTGAATTAGCTGAGCAATACTGATGGAGGAGGCTCGTTTTGTTTACATGTTATGTATCTTGTACAAGATTCTGCCAAACTTTTTCTGAGACCTTTATACCTTAATATGATCTTGAAAGTGAATTAGAGGACTAAAAATGTTCTTGTTGGAGCCAGTGGAATATGGTGTCTTGAATCAAAATTATTTAAACCATTACTACACTAACTGTTAGCAGGTAAGTTAAACAAAATATATAATTATGAGAATGATGATAACAATAACTCAGCAAATGAGAAATCTAAAGAGTGAAGAGCTATTCTTCATATTAAATTGGAGCAATAAGTTGACAATAACTGTTGCAGGACGTGTTTCCTTTTCTTCCAATCTTTTTTTATTTTTTTTGGGGTCAGCTTTTCTTCCAATCAATACATGCATTTACAAAGTTTTCTTAGAAAGAGATGTGTCAAGTGATGCGACAAAATATTATTGGTAGAGTGAATTTTCAAAGTCACATCATTAACTTATAAAGTAAGCCACGTCACTTTGTATATACAATTTTTAATTTTAATAATACTTTGGGTACTAACCAATTTTACTAATCAGTGTACTAATTTAAAGTATAGTATGTGTATCATATGCGTAGTATGGATATCATATATAATTTTAACAAAAGTTAGTACACTGGTTAATAAAATCCGTTAGTACGCATAGCATTACCCTTTTTATTTTTTAAAATGAACCGAGGTGTTTGAGTCCGTTTATACGTATCTTAACTAATTTTTCAAGATCTTAAAACTATCGATTGAGTAAAAGCTCAAATATCCACATTTATTAGTAAGTAGTAACTGAGGAGGCTCTAGACCTCTTGAGTAATATATCCAAAGGTTTCTATTGAATCACTCGACCACCCAGGGATTGATTTTGTATAAACATCTTTGTATAAAGACTTTGTAAATATAGTGTTATTGTTGCGATTTTGATCAATCAAAAGATTTAACATAACATATAAACATAAATATGCGTTTGTATAATATATAGTACAGCGATGTAGCATTTAAAACCAATAATCAAATTATAGATAGTAACCAGAATCTATAAATATTGAAGATATCTCCAAATTAAGAAGGGTAGTTTACTATGTCAAGATTATTGGTCTCAAAAGATGTGCATTGCTATTTTCATGAATGGTTCGGTAGGTTTTACGAAAATACAGAGACAAAAATAAAGGTATAACAGAGATAAACCAGAAAGGGATGTAGCTAGGTTGGCCAAGTAAATGCAGAAGAGGTGGTTAGGTGAGTAAGTTTACTATTAACTGAGTTAGGTTGAGAGTAATACCACGTACAATGAAATGGTTCTTGTCTTTACACATCTGGGAATGGCGTGAGAGAGCGAGCTTGGTTTACTCTTTTGTTGTTGCTGTTTCTGCAGACTTCTATCATCATCCATGTCATCGTGTTCTTGTGAAATTCAGCATTTGCTTTCCTCCTTGTTTACTGCTACTTCTTACCTTTCACGGAAACTACATTTACTTTATCTTTATTTTATTAATTTATTGTTAATGTCACATGTATTATCAGTCGATCGATGCAGTACTGTTTCACGTGTAATAAATAAATTGATATATCTAGCCACCGAGCCGATTACTCTTTATTATGAAAGGTAAAGGCAGCGTTTGGTTTATTATTTTGGGTAGGATTTTGGGGATAGTATTGGATAATTGAATAGGGGAGTATTACGAGATAAAATTTAAAAATTTATGAAAAAGCCCCCAAGGTTTGCTAATTTATAAACACCCCAATATATTAAAATATTATAAAATGACAAAAACACCCCTAACACCCAAAGTGCCAAATTCCGGTCACCACCGACGGAATCTAGCCGAAAAATTGGATAACCACAAAATCCGATCGGATCTGACGGGTATTCGATCGATATGGCCTTTTCCGGCCATATCCACCACGGATCCACCACGGATTTGGCTGGATGTGGCCTTCGATGGCCGAAAAAGGCCAACTTTGGCCGGTAGCGACGACCAAAGATATGGCCGTCGTTGTCTGTCAACGATGGTCATTTTTTTTGCCGTCGCTGACGGTCAGATCTGGAATTTTCCGGGCAGATACGTGGCGGATCTGGCTGGGAAAGGCCAGATCTGGCCATTTCCGGTGGTTGTGTGACTGTTGTGATAGATTCCGGCTACCACCGGTGGTGGTTGCCGGAATCTGGCAAGTATTGTGGGTGGGGGTGTTTCTGTTAGTTTTTAAATTTTTTTCTGGGGGGTATTTTGAGATTAATAAACTTATGGGGTCTAAAAGTAATTAAAAAAATAGACTAATATTTTGGGAATACCGTGCCAAACAACATTTGAAGAATAGGATTGAGAATATGGATAAAAATAATAAGCCAAACGCACCCAAAATATTATTTACTGTTATCATCTAAATTGCTGAAGCAATTATTTTACTGTTTTTAGGTTTTTTTTGATCTTAATGTCACTTAATTAATTAATGCATAAAGTTTGTGGATATAGTATGGCATAGGCTAACTAAAATAACTACTGGAGAAGCAAACCACTTTTGTTCATCCATCAAATTGCAACCATGCTGCCACCACGGATGGTCCTTCTTCCTTCAACCGTCGGTTTCATCTTCCTCCTCAACCTCTTCATCTCTCTTCTCAAATGGATCTTCACTACTTTTCTGAGACCACCAAAAAACCTCACCCACTACGGCTCATGGGCTCTCATAACCGGAGCCACTGACGGCATAGGGAAAGCCTTAGCCAAAAAATGTGCACAGCAAGGCCTCAACTTAATCCTCGTCAGTAGAAGCCACAACAAGCTCAAAGCAGTGGAAACTGAGCTCCGAGCTGAATATCCCGACACCAAGATCACCACCGTGGAGTTTGACTTCACTGGTAATATCTCAAACGGTGTTAGATCCATAGAGAAAGCCATTGATGGAGTGGAAGTAGGAATTCTTATAAACAACGTGGGGATTACATACCCATCAGCCATGTTCTTTCACGAGGTTGAAGAGAAAGTATGGATGGACATCGTTAGGGTTAATCTGGAAGGAACAACTAGGGTTACGAAAGCTGTTTTATCAGGGATGATAAAGAGGAAAAGAGGTGCCATTGTGAACATCGGTTCAGGTGCGGCCATTGTTGTACCTTCACATCCTCTCTTCACAATCTATGCCGCTACAAAAGCGTACGTAAATTTTCCTTTCTTCTACTAATATTATTATAAATCTTAGAGTTGTAGACAAAAGTTGGCTAAGTTCTCTCTCTTAATTTTTTTAGATTAAAGTAAATCAAGAATTATAATTTTAGTTTATCCTTAAAAAAATGAAATTAAATAAAAGTTTTAATTTTTCCTTCATCGATCCTTAAGTTAGTAAGGGTTCATGGATCAAAATTAGTAGATGTTAACTACCTCTTAGTAGTTGAGTGGTTCGATGAAGACTCTTTGATGTATTATTCAATGATTCTAAGTTCGAGTTTTTTATCGATTGTTAATAGGGATAGCCACTAGAACTCTTACCTGATCGATAGTTTCAAGGTTCTAGAGGATTAATTGAGGCATACGTAAGCTGACCCAAAAACTATGATCATAAAAAAGAATTCAAACTTTAAACATTTTGATTATAATATTATACTGATAGCTATGTATACTATAGATAATTGAGTGAGGAGAGAAGTAGATTACATAGTCTGAGTTTGTCAGGTTCGAAGTATACCTATATTCAGGGGCGGATCCAGCCTAGTTTTCGCCCACCCTCAATTTTTTTTTTTTTTAAATACTAATATGTATAATTTCTAGATTTGGGTCCTCTATAATAAAAATATTAATATATAATTAGTTTTTATTTTAGCCCGTTATAATAGAAATTTCTGGATCCATCTATTCAACCTTCTTATAGTTTGAACTTTTAACTCTGAAGCCAAACAAATCAGTACAGTATTGGTCTTGGAATTAACTATCTCGACAGCTGTCTGCCTTTTAGTTTCAGAGAAAAAGACGCCTGCAAAAAAGACCGACCCACAGCCATTTATTTTCTATTCAATATGTATGCATCCATCCAATTTCTTTAATACTATTCCTTAATTGATGAAAATAACTCTTTCAGAAAAACAAAAAAGAATAAGAAGAAATATATCTTCTATTAATAATAGGAGCCTTAAATATTGTAAATATATATTTACAAAATTTAATGCACTGGAAAGTGAAAGCCATGTCATGCAAGGCTTGTCAAATTTTTAAGCACCTCTCTTTTTATTTCATTTTTAAAAATAAAATTCTCACCAACAGAACGATCGTTTTCAATTCATCAGCAAAACGTGTATCACCATTTTCACATAAATGAGAAAGAGAAGGAAGAAACAAGAGAAGAGGGACAAATTAAATACAGTAGATGGGCCAATGTGGATGTGAGGTTAAGACAAAGGTGATCTGTGCGGGCAAAGTGAACAGATTAAGCTACATCTTTTATGACATTATTTACAGTTTGGAAACAAATTAATATATATATATTGTTTTCCCTTTGAAATCCCTTGTTTCCCGCTTTGTTATCAGTTCCTTCTTAATTTGTTAATGTACAGTTACGTTGATCAACTATCAAGATCTATGCATGTGGAATACAAAAAATTTGGAATCGATGTGCAGTGTCAGGTATGACATTCTTAATTGCACTTCCAAAATTATTGTACATCATCTCCAAATCTATAATGATATATACTGTATATATTTGCAGGTACCTTTGTATGTTGCAACAAAAATGGTATCGAAAGTGGCATCGATAGAGAAAAGATCAATGTTTATACCATCGCCAGATGATTATGCTGAAGCTTCAATTAGTTGGATTGGATATGAAGCAAGGTGCACCCCTTACTGGCCTCACTCTCTTCAATGGAGCTTCGCTTCCTTGCTCCCTCACTCCATCCTTGATGCTTGGCGTCTTTCCATTGGCATCCGCAGGAGATCACACTCTACTTTCACATGACCTCAATTACTCTTTACTTGTTTCTGCAAATAATAATGAATTTAATTATTGATTTATTCCCTTTTTAATTGTTAAAATTAAGATAACTTCTTTTAGTAGTAGCATCATTAAGATTTGTCACATTGATATAATCGGATAGCTTTAACATTTTTTTTTTTTTTTTTTAATATTTGTTGAAATGACAAAGACCTTAGACCTCCCATTGGTATGGACAATTAAGAGAGTTGTGAATATAATAGGAGGAAAGATAATACAGGCGTGTGGTTGTTAAATTTTAAATGAGATTCTTTTAACAATTGTGGTGTAAAAGACATCAGGCTTATTTATAATGTGTTAAATAATTGGTTTAAGCTCCATTTCCAATTTCTAAATATGAATAGTAAAGAGCGAAAGTTGGTGACAGATGGAAAAATGAACATGTCTGCGTGAGCGTGATTATATGGAGCCAACGTAGAAAATGTGGAAAGCTAGATATTTGAAGTCAAACATCACTATAGAGTTTGGTTCGAAGAAAAATATTAACCCAGATTAATTAATATACAGATGGTATTATTTTTATGTTAATTACTACCTTGGTACTGATATCAATATTAGATTCAGATCTCCCAATACACGGTTATAGATATTATAAAATAATATATTAGTGTTGACGCTTGATTTTGACATCAACTATTCGTACGTGTAAAATGTTAAAATGACTTAGAAGTCACACGTGATATGAGGGGATTAAATCAAATAAAGGTGAAGAACAATATTTAAAGTGGTTCGGATACTCTAAAGCGAATCTTACGTCCATTGCTATTGTATTAATAAGAGAGAGTGATCAGGTCGCTCTCAACGAGCTGAGTTACAGTTTAGAGAGAGAGAGAGAGAGCTATTTCAACGTAAAATCAGCTAATCCCTTCAAACGAGAGGGAAGTCTTCTATTTATAGTGGGAAAGTTTAAAGTAATGTTATAAAAACTGCAAGTTGGTAGGTGCCGTGCAAATCATTTCTGTACGTCCCATTGATCACCTGCCCGGGAGATTTCTTCGATTAAAATAGGGCTTTGACACGTTTGCAATCTCCAGCCGCTTGCTGGCTTGGCACTCACCTGTTGCAGTGATAGGAGCCATGTCACTTGCGCTAGGCACGACGTGGCAACACCTGAACAGTGCAGAACCCTTCTGAACTCTAACTATCTTTTGCTGATGAGGCTCCATATCAGCCCTACCTTTTTCGTCATAACAATTAGGGATTTATTTATTGATTCAGATATTTGGCTTTAGAAGAGAGCATTTTAAGACTTGTTCGTATCTCCTACAGTTGAAAATGGACACTGACATCTTCTTACAAGCAATCATCGCACATGCATAATTTGACTGAATCAAGTGTTTGTGAGTTTGTTGATACTTCTATAAAAAGCAAATTATGTATTATACATAGTTGAAGAATTTGAGCTTGAGCAGTCTGGCTTATCAGAGTTTTACAAAATGGCAATAGGGTTTATTCTTAGAGTAGTTTATTTTCTAGGCTTTTTGTCTCTTTGTAAACTCATTTGGAGTTTAATACGGGGGATATGGGTCTTATTCTTGAGACCGGCGAAAAACCTCAAGAAATATGGATCATGGGCTATCGTCACTGGCTGCACCGAGGGTTTGGGCAAAGCTATAGCCTTTGAATTAGCATCAAAGGGTCTTAACATTCTGTTGGTTGGCCGCAATCCTGAAAAACTCAAAGCTATCTCGATTGAGATACGCCAAAGGTATAAGTTGATTGAAACCAGAGATGTGGTTATCGACTTCCTGAAACATAGTGGCCAGGAGATTGGTAAGTTGATAGAGGAAGGTATTGAAGGGCTAGACATTGGTATTTTGATAAATGTTGCTGGGTTGAATTACCCCACTGCAAGGTACTTTCATGAAGTTGATGAAGAGTTGATGCAGAGTCTTATAAAGGTAAATATAGATTCAGTAACCTGGATGACCAAGTCGGTTCTTCCTATTATGATTAGAAAAAGGAAAGGAGCAATCGTCAATATAGGCTCTGGCTCCTCCGCTGTTGTTCCTTCATCTCCCTTATTTACTCTCTATGCTTCTACCAAATGGTAAGTTTCACTACTCTTGTATTCTACTTAATTAAGGCTAAGACATTTGTTAATAACCAGAACTCTTTTTATTTAAAAGCTATATTGATCAACTATCAAGATCTCTACATGTTGAATACAAAAAGTACGGAATTGATGTGCAGGTTCAGGTATTTATGCCATCCTTTTGCTGTTAAAAATGTAAACAAAGAGTAAGAAATGCCCCGTACTTCTTTTACATGCCCGAGTTCGAAACTACTGAAGCCAGTTAGCCTTAATCTTTTGAGGTGATTAATATTGCAGGTACCAGCATATTGTGTAACAAAAATGACGTTGAGAATAGGAGCGACAAAGGAGCGTCCATCTTTGTTTAAACCAATGCCAGAAGATTTTGCACGAGCTTCGGTTCGCATGATTGGCTATGAACCAAGGTGCTGCCCTTACTGGACTCATGCACTTCAATGGTGTTTCACTAAATTTATGCCAGACACCGTCCTTGACGCTTTTCGTCTTGCTGAAGGCATCCGCAGGAGATCACTTGGAAACACTGCATCACACAAAAATTAATTAATACTATTTTATTTCTCCTTGTGTTGGCTGCTGAATAAATCCTCATAATAAATGTTAATCAAGTTTGGTGTGGGACGTGTATAAGATCCCGTATTTGCTAATTCGTTATATGAACTTTTTGTAGGTTTTCTCAAAGATAATAAGATATAATTACTCTTTACAAGATTAATTAATTACAAGTTTGGGGATTCCTTCTTTTTTTTTTTTTTGTAATATAATTAAGGCATTAATAATAACCAATAATCAAAATCCACATAGAAGTATAGTTATATTTAGCCATATCAGTTGCAATAAAAATAAAAATTTAGATATTTATAATTTGAATGAATGTAGCATTATTTAAAGAAATAGAATGTTGATAAAATAAAAGAAGAAAAAAATTGGAAAATTATGTTATAGAATAGCATAAGAAAGAGCAGCTTTAATTACTGGGCTTTAGTGGCGTTTTGGATCTTGTCTTTAGCCCTGGTCTTTTTGTTTGTGAGATTAAGGGTAACTAGTGTATATATTTTGTATTGTGTTAAATTTTGTCAGTATGATTGATTTTAGCATCAACTAAACACATATGAGAAATACTTGACTCAAAAGACATGTGTATAGGGGTATTGAACTGAATAAAAATGAAAAACAATGTTTAAAGTAGTTCGGATGCTTAAACAAGCGAATCCTACGCCCATTGGTATTGCATTAATATATGAGATCAGGTTGAGTTCAACGAGCTGATTTACAAGTGATTAAGAGAGAGAGAGTATATGTGCTATTCTAGAGAGAAATTAGCTAATTCTATAAACAGGAGAATAACCCTCTATTTATAGTGGGATGAGTTAAGGTAATGATTACTAAATCTATGAGTGGATCAGATTACCATGCAAATCCTTCTTTGCATCCGTTGTTTACCTGCTCGAGTGATTTACTCGACGTGTACAGGGATTGGACACGTGGATTGTCTCCAGTCTTTCACCAGTCTGGCACACACCCACTACACTGGCAAGAGCATGTCACTTGTATCAATGTATAATGTGGCTGCGTCTGAATGGTTACAGGACTTACCTAAGCTCTGACCGTTTATGTTGACAGGGCTTTATGTCCTATTTTTTTAGATATAACAATCAGCTTTCGGCCAACTATATAATCATAATCTCCTTCCAAACTGTAAATGTAATGAATTACTTATATTTAAATATAAATTTTTTATTAATTTAAAAGATTCATGCTAAAAAATTCTCATTTTTATTGTGGAGACGCAGCGTTTAAAAATCCTCGATAGGCTGGGCCGGGACAAGCTTTGGTCTTGGGGACAGGGATGAGTCCGGGGAAGGGAAAGGGGTCCCCGCCCCCGCCCCCGCCCACCCCGTTGCCATTTCTCCTCACAAGGTCTCGACAAAAGATGCAAGCCGGTGAAATCAAAGTTTGTAAATAAAAAAATAAATATAAAAAATGTGACACAAAGTGAGAGCAATAATTGCTGGTGTGGAGCACAATTAGTCATGTGAACTATCGCACTTTTTGACTATGAGCAAACATGTTCCCATCTAAAAATTAGCAAAATGACAAGTTTTCAACGCTAATTTCATATATTCCAGATCCTCATGTTTAAAAGTAATGCTAGATTTTGACATAGATGTAAAAGGTGTTATACTACACTTTTGACAAATAAATTAATAAATTATTTTTTAACTTACAAATTAGTAGAATTAGAAAAATAACCCTCTTACTTTCAAATTTATTTCAATAACATCCTCTTTTTCAACATTCACATCATCTCCAACCACTGCCACCACCACCACCACCACCACCACCACCACCACCTAGTCTCTACCGCCAAAATCTCTATCAACTATCATCGAGGCTGCCATGACCAACATCAAAACCCAGATCCAAACTTTATACCCGAAAATCAAAACACCCTAGATCCAAAAACTAAAACAATTTGTCGTTTTTGGCTTATTTTGGCCATTACCTATAACCTTTCACTGGCCACACATCTCTCGGTTCAAGGCCAATTTCACTTGATTTCGGCTTTGTTGGCCTTCCCTCTCACCACCACAAGCACCACTGTTCGTCCATCTCCAAAATCGCCATTGTCCCCACCTAATTCCACCCGATTTTACGTTGACCACTGCTAGGGTTCGAGTGATTTCTCTTGCCAGATTCTGGCAATTTTTGGTGGCCTAAATCAAAATTGACACCACCCCTAGACTCATTATCAACCCCTAACCTTCTAGCCTCTAATCGTTCACCATTCGCCGACTGTAGCTAAGGCTCGTGTGATTCTTTCTTGTCGAATTTTAACGATCTCCGGCGACCAAAATCAAAATTGACACCACCCCAATATTTACCATCAACCCCTTAACAAAACCCTAACCTTCTAGCACATAATCGCTCATTGTTTGTCAGCTAGTGTTTATTTGGCTGTTTCGCAAGTAGTTGTATTTTAAATGGCTTGGAGACAGTTTTCTGGGAGCTAATTGTTGGAAGTTTTGATTGCTCTGGTGTTATTTGTGCGAAGTGTCGTGATACTGGTTGATTGCGATCAATCGCACCTCGCATTGTCACTGCTCACCATGCGATCATGGAGTTATTGGAGTCAACCAAGTTGCAATGGCTGTCGACTATTTGAGGGTTTTTGTGTTTTGAATTTGGGTTTGTTTGTGTTTACAAACGACCACTTTACCATTTGACCGTTATATAAAACAATTTTATGTTAATTGAAGGGTGAAAACCTAGAATATGTAAAACCAGGGGTGAAAACTTGGCATTTCGCTTATCTTTGGATGGGAACATGTCGCTTGCTCTAATTCAAGGGTTTATTAGGGAGATATGTTACCACCAGTAAGATGGACCCAACAAGGAAATTGCAGGTCAGGCACATGCACGTATTAGTTAGAACAATGCGTAAGAAGACTTTGTCATGTAAATCATTTGACGACAAGGTCAAAAGAAGTTTGATGGTCAAAAGAAGTTTTTTGAATTTTTTAACTAAGAAACTTTCTTGTTTTTCACACTTTACTTTCAAGCTTAATCTCCTTTACTGTCGACCGTTGAATCATAACTTTAGCAGCGTTAATTTAATAGCAAAGGAGGACTATATATATCTTAGCTGGTGCTTAAATACTCGAGATAAATGTTTATGCTGAGAACTTAATAGTTTGAATATTTTAAAGGTTTGCTATATGTCTTATGAATTATGATCAGCTTTTATATGAGTTTTTTAGTAAGGTCCTTTGCTGATCGTTGGAAGGTTTAAATTATGTAAACATTTAGAAAGTTCATAGATCCTTCAGTACTATACCAATTAATACCAAATCTATACATTTGTTGGCCATTACCATTTCGTTTGTTTGGGTGATTATTTTATATGTTTTACAGTTACATTTATCAACTATCATGAAGTTAACTAAATATTAATTATAATGTTACCTAAAATTCTTTTCTTGAAAATCTTTTCCCTGATAATTTTTTGTAATTTGCAAGTCCCACTAATAGCAGCAACTTACGGTGTGTTTGTCTAAACTTATGAATATTAGCTTATAAGCATTTAAAAATTTAAACAATTACGTGTTTGGTTAAAGTACTTATAAGTGACTGATAAGTAACTGACGTGTTTGGTAAAATATGGCTTATAAGTACATTTTATTATAAAATGACTAAAAAGGGTACTACATTAAACAAGGGTCTACTATGGAATTTTAAAATTAAACAAGAATAATATGGTAATATACTTGGTCAAACTAGTTTNGGTTTTGGTTTCAAATTTCAAGGAACCGTCGGTTCTGGTTCCCTTAAAAAATGCAAGGTACCCGAAACTGAACAGCCCGGTATGGTCAAAGGTGGACCTAGCCCCCTTTGACGGTAGGGCCAGGCCTACCCTCAAATTAAAAAAAAAAAAAAAAAAAAAAAAAACAATTGAATTCTTTTGAATCTCTCTTTATGCTTTAGGATTCTACCTATCTTATTAATTTGACATTTATGTCCTCTTACTTTCTGCTAATTTAGTTCATATAGTATATCACATAAATCAATATTAAATGTGATTTTTAATTCTATGACCTAACATTATTTCATTTTTATTTACCTTTCTATTTTTCATCCCTTTACCTAATTAATTACTAAATAGACGCCAATTCTCTCTATTAGTAAAAGATTCTATGTTGTAACTTATACCCATTTTTAATAGAAATAAAAGTTGATAATTTATATAATTATAAACTAATAATCTACTTAATAATTATCATTATTTTCCTTGATTTTAATAAATTTCGAATGATTATGTTATACTCTTTTCACAAATCTATTATCTAATTAATGACAATAACATGACATAATTAAACAAAATAATCAGATTATAATTCAATTCGATTTATTCATTGAACTTTGATCATGACAATCTAGTGTTAAAAGTAAGCATAATTGTTTACTATTTAATTTTTTAAAGAACTTAATCATATAAAACATTACTTTAAAAGTGCAAACAACTCAACTCATTTTTCCATTCGGCCCTTGCTTCTTCCCTTCTAATTTCATACATCAATAACATCAAGAGAAGAATTTGATTTGAAAGCAAATTAGGTCAAGATTTAGGGTTTAAGATTTAGGGTTTAAGTTTAGGGTTTTTTGCTCTCTTCACATTGAAGAGGTTTTTCCACGTAAAATTTTTCTTGTGTTTCCTTTAAATTGGATGTTATTTTCAACACATTTGCTCAAAGTTTTGCTTTTCATAGAATTATTCAAGTAGAAAAGTATTATGTTATTGTATTTTTTCTTTTCAGTTTCTTGATATTGTATTATTTCCTTNAAAAAAAGTACCTCCCCACAACTTTTTTTTTTTTACTTATAAACTCAAAAAAGTTATAAACAAACAAATCAGTTTAATTTTAGAGCTTATAAGCTAGTTTGATCAGCTTATAAGCTTAGACAAACACCCCCTTAAAGAGCGAGAGACAGAGTTAATCAAAAGTTGAATATTTTGAAGTTTTTGTTGTATGCCATACATGCTTAAAACATATGAAGATATGAATGAAAGCTATAGCCAGTATGGAGCATAAGAGTGCAATGAAAAAATAATGATATGAACCCATGAAAAATGATTTGTTTGTTTTTGATGGAATATTATTATTACAGAGTGCTGTGATCCAGGCTTAATTGAAGACTGAAACTATTATGGCTTGATTCATGGCTTG